TTTTTTTCATAACTTTTAACAGACCTGTGCTTGCAATCTGTGCTTTGAGATACTGGTAAAGAGGTTTTATTGTTCAGTGATTTCTATTATGTTTACAATGTACATAGTATATTACAATTTTTTGGGGTGGGCTGCACCTTTTCTGCCCTGCTGTGTTCGCACTTTTTGCCCCCCTGTTCCATTTGCTGCTGCTTTGTTGGATGTGGCAAGGGGGCAGGCAGTGGGGAGAAGATCGGTGTCTTTCACGKGGCAGCATTTTTGGCACCCTGGGTGCGTTCCTGCTGCTTTCCTGTATGTGAAAAGGGAGTAGGGAGAAGATCAGTGACTTTCAGGGCTCTAATTTATTTCTCATTCTCTTCTTCTCACTTTGTTACTTATAAACTCACCTGATTATTTTAGTAGTGACTGTTTTGTCCATCAAGTGTTTTCCTCCCCATTCCTTACCTCAACTCATGAACCCTTTCGTCAGTTTTTTTTTTTTACTTTCACTCTTCTCTACCCACTGTGGTGGTGGTGGTGGTGGTGGTGGTGGTGGTGGTGGTGGACAGCGAATAAGCAGGTGTTGTGGCTGCCTGGCTTTTGGCCAGGGTTCTAAACCACAACAACCCCAAAACCCCAAAAACCACCCCAAAAATGGCATCAGGACCCCAAAAGCCCAAAAACCAACCCAAAATCAGCACCAGGACCCAAAAGGCACCTCTGCTACAAAAATAAGGGAGGGCGGCCCCCCACATGGTTCAAGTCCCTCCCCAGCTCCTGTCTCACAGGCTAGCGCCTACCCCGCAGCAAAGGGGCAGTGTGCCACTCATCTCCTGCTCGGGCTCCTCTCTGCTTTGTTCCTCCTCTGTCACTACGCCGCAGGCAGACAGATGTCCCATCCTTCTGCAGCGATGCTTCTGCAGTGAGAGCACCCCTTTGCAGCTGCAGAACACCAGCATGTGTCCTGAGGGACACAAAAACAATCCTGTGTGTGTACCCCATGTCGGGTGTGTGTCCCCACGCATCCGCTGCCCTCTGTGCATCCTGCATGTCCTGCGAGTCCTCTTGTGTGTCCATGTCCTGTGTGTCCCTCTATGTGTCCTTGTGCATCTACATCCTGCGTATCCCCATGTGTCCTGCATCCTCCCTGTGTCCATATCCTGTGCCCCCCATGTCCTGTGCATCCTGTCCCGTGTCCCATGTGTACCCCGCGTTCTGTGTGCTCCCATGCCCAGCTGATACGCAGGTGCATTAGCAACTATTGCTTTATTCTCCTCAGCAGCACAAGCTCTGTGGGCAGAGGAATCTGGTCCCTCTCCCCATCCACGCCCCCATCCATTTTCCTGTCCTCGTCTGTGTTCGCATCCTTGTTCCCATCCTGTTTCCTCATGGCCTCTTCACGGTGCTCTCAAAGAATGACTCCAGCACAAAGATGGTCTCATCCACATGATTCTCACTGGCATCGATCCTGCAAGACAGACAGCAATGGGCAGCCCCCACAGGGTCCCCAACCACCATCCCCATCCCTCTTTCCATCCCCTCTCACTTGTTGACATTGCATTTTAGGGTCTCGAGCTGCTGCCGCTCAGGACCTGTGATCATCTCCTCGACCTCATGCAGCTGTGCCGCCTCAGCACCTGTGGCCTGCATGGAGGCCAGGATGGCCTCCACGCGCTGTGACTTCTCTAGGAGCCTCCTAGGAKGGAACACRGACACWTGGACAGGGCSRTAGMYRCTACGSACCCACCACACCAGGCCACCCCAAGCCACAGCGCTCACTTGTTCTCCCGCATCTCATGCTGCCGTCGCTCCATCAGGTTGGCCACACTCTGGAGGGGAAACAGGTGAGTCCCCAGCACGATGTGTTGAGAACCACTGAGGAACCCTATGGGGGGATGTGGGCACAGTCACTGCCACCCCCTGTGGCACCACAACAGAGGGGGCTGTGATACCTGGACCCTGGAGTAGGAAGGAGCTCTCAAGTGACAGAACCACGTGAGCCCCCAGCCCAGAAGTATTGGGTTAGGGTTAGGGACCACACGCTCCCAAACATCCAACAGGGGGACACACAGAGGACAGTACTGCTGCCATCCCTGTGGCACCAGGAACAAGGGGGCTGTGACACCTGGAATGGCACTTCTARGACTGGGGGCTGCACACGTTCCCTGAAGCAGGAGGTGGCAGCAGGGCCCCGATTCCCTGGGAATTACTGCATGGATAGACTGGGATGGGTGATATTTGAGGCCCAGCAGGTCCTTGGGATTCACCTTGTAGCACCTGTGAAGCAGCATCCAAGCAGCAGCCATCACATTCACTGCGTACAAGTAGGAAGTGCGGGAAGGAGCATGGTCTGGAGTCCTGGGAATCTCCTGTGGAAGGGCAGAGGGGTGGATGCGATGGGAACCGAGTGGGGGTGTCACCCACCCCAGAGGTGTCCCTGTGTCCCCTCGCTTGTAGGATTCCCCCTCCTCCAAGGGTTCCCCATGCTCACATTCTAGGTGGGATCACTTGGAAGTGCCCACAAGTGCCTGGGAGAATGTCTGGCATCCTACAGCTCCCTCACCTGCAAGGACACCAGGTTCTCTGAGAGCATCCTGTAGAGCATSTCCTTGGCTTCCTTGGCCGGGATCATGGCAAAATCCTCCACCTGCTTCTGCTCCAGGTGCTTCTTGCGCAGGAGCAGGCGGAATATCCTGGCGCAGCGGGACCCAAACCTGTGCAGGAAAAGCGGGATGGGGGGGGGGGGGGTGTCAGAAGGGGGTGGAAGGAGCCCAGGAGGCTCTGGGTCCCCATGTTACCTCTCCTCCACGATGGACTCCAGTGTGGCCGTGGCCAGGGACACCAGGGCCTTGTGCAGGTCGGTAGGGGCTGAAGTCAAGRACAATTCCAGAGCTTGGGAATGTTTCTGGCCTGGCAACATCTACTTACCCCCAAAGGATACTAACGGTGTAGGTGCCCCCACCRCTGTCCCCCAACTTCCCCACAAACTCCAGCTGCAGGGAGAGACAAGGGAAAAGTTTATGACATCCCTGGGAGGAAGGAAGATATTGATTTCTTCCTTAAAATCTGGAGTGGGAAGAGTAAGAAGATTTTAGGGAAAAAATACCTAGGACTTTAACAGCCTAAAAGCATGGCCCAGGTCTTACTGAGAGTTCCAAAGGCTTTTAAATACCTTTCATATCTTTTAAGTGTCTTCAGTGTCAGAATTACAGGTAGCTTTACTGACTTTGAATTAAGCCCTAAATACTTAAAATACCTTTGCTGTTTTTTACATAACCATGGTATCTGTTAATATCTACAATATATTATACACTGTAGAGGGTCAGACCAGGCCTTTACCTGCACAGGTAAATCACACAGCACCTACAGGATGGACAAGGGATCAGACCCAGCCAACATGGGTTTAGAAGGGGTAGGTCATATTTGACCAACCTGGTCTCCTTTTATGACCAGGTAACCCACCTGGTGGATGCAGGAAACGCTGCTTAGATGTTGTCCATTTAGACGTCAGCAAAGCCTTTGACACTGTCTCTCACAGCATACTCCTGGAGAAGCTGGCAGCCCACAGGTCAGACATCTACTGCTAATATATCCTGTTACAAAACTGATGGTGTTGCTATAATCTGCATACATCCTGGTGAAAGATTGGCAATATTTCAAGCCACAATTTAATTATTCTGTGTCCTTTATGCTTTGAAAGCATAATCAAATCTTCAGGACAATGATGTACTGGAATGATGGATGAGTCAACATATATTTTTATCTAAACAATATGTTATTATTCATTCCATCTGCTCTCCACCGTATCATTATCCATTAAAARTCTCCATGTTACCATAACTGGATTCAAGGTAAAAGGATTGCTTCCTTTGCAATCTTTTMTCAGTGTCGCAAATCCAGGTACTTTCCTAAGAAATAACCGAAATAACCCCAAGGTAATACAAGCGTAATTCTCCAGGAGCATACAGGAAAAACGTCTAAAAACGCTGGGACGCGCTGCGCGCGCGCCCGCCCGCTCCGCCCTCCCCGGGAAGGCTCCGGTCCCGCCCGCCCTGCTCCCCATTGGCTGCGCTGCTCCGGACGTCATCCGCCAGCGCTCGTCTCATTGGCTACGGTGCAGGGTCCAGAGGAGGGGCGAGCGGAAGGCGCAGCGGCGGCGGGCGCAGTGTTTCCGGTACTGTGTGCGCGGCGGGGCCTGGCACCGTGACGGCGGCCCCGTCAGGTGGGGCGTTGTCCGCGCACGCTCCCGCCACCGAGACGGGAGGGGCGAGGCGAGGCGGGCGTGCCTCAGGCAGAGGCGGAAGGAGCGCGCGTGCCCGAGGCCCGGTGAACGGGGCGGGATGAGTGGCGAGGACGGGAACGAGGAGTTCTACCGGCAGCTCCAGCTCCAGCAGCAGTACGAGGCCAAGCCTGCCGAGGGCGAGGGCGASTCTGACCCCTTTACCTACGTGGACCCGGCGGACGGGGCCGCCTACGAGTGGGACCGGGAGAAGAAGGCCTGGTTCCCCAAGGTGGGTACGGGGGAGCCCCGAGGAAGGGGGAGAAGGAGGTGCGGTCGATGCTTCATCTCCTCGGCACGGAGGTGTCCGCGTTCAGCCACATCGTSTCTGCTGCGGTGTCTCAGCGCCACAAAAACGCTCTTTTTTACAGGCACGACCGCGGCGTGGTCTCCGTCACGGACCGACCTCGCTCTCACGATGAGCTGTGGGTTGGCTAGTCGCCGTGGCGGAGAATCTGTAGAGTCGCTCGGGCCTGGGATGAAGTCACGCTTATATTTGTGGATGTTGATCGGAGGTGCCTGGGACGTGTTTAGGTCTCTGTCATAGTAGTTGTGGTCATCTCTTTGTGGTCGGTGTAGAAACGAATTATGTTTTGAGGTCCAGATGAGAATAGAGTACCATGGTCCCTCTTTTATTATTACGTTACAATTATGTCAAGTGAGAGATGTGTTGTTCTGTCTCCTTCAGCCGTAAAAGTGCACTTGAAAAACAAGTAGTGTATTTGTCTTAGTGGCATTCCACAGCATGGAATGTTTTAAGTATCAAATACGAGCTTGCTATAATAACATGGCTCTTCAAGGGGAGAATGAACGCAGATTTACTATGTTGAGCCAATTTACTTAGCTACAAGTGGAAGAGTAGTTTTGTTATTATGTAGCCATGAATGAGAGCGATCAGTTTAATATTTAGACATTTTATGGCATGTTCTCCATGGATGTAATGTACCAGTTCTAGCTGGTGACTGTGAATTTTTCAATGTGTGTAAACCTAGGAAGGTGTCTGTGAAGCAGATGGCTTATGGAGGGGTAAAAACCTGAAAAATCCACAAAGCAGAGYAGTGGGGAGCTGAGTGTCCCTGGCTCCCTGTGGAGTGCTATATCCAGTAAGCACAGTAAATTATAAAGGAGTTCTACTAGTTTTGCCCCCATTTCCTCCCTTTCTTCTCACCGCTTTTTTAAAATATGTCTCTTGTCTTTCCTAAGTGCTTTTCTTCCATGTTCTGTCTCAGAGAGGAGATAACATTAAGCGTTGGACAGGTTAAATAGGAGCAGCAAAGTTCATTAGCAAATAAGATGTATAGTACAAGTCGATGACGTGACCGTGACCCATATGCTGCACAAAGATTCTTTGCCCAGCTGGATATCATACTGTTTCTTAGGCCACTTCTTTTGGCTGATGATTATTAATGTTTTGTGCAAATAAACCGGGGAGATGGTTGTAACCGGAAACTGTACTTCTTTCTCCATGAGCAGTAATAAAATTTTTTATCTCTGCTTCTTGACAAAAGATGACAATATTCTGACTGGTCTAAGTAATCTGTATCTACAGACTGGGATTGCGCTGCTGCTCTGCTTCAGGTATAAACCGTTCGCTCAACTCCCACTAAAGCATATTTCAAAGGGACGCAAAAGTGGATACTAACTGTCAGCATTCCCCAGAAAAATTTTGCGACAATCAAATATTTAACAGAAGCAATTTTAATGTCATTTCTTATTTAATTTTTTTTCTTTCAATGGTACTACATTGATGAATACCAACTCTTTTAGTGCTTCATAGACAGAGCGCAAAATAACACGTGCAGTCCATCTGCTGCCTGCATCRCTTTCCGTGAAACTACAGACATTTGCTGTCATCTGCAAGCGTAGGGTATCTGTTCCYCATTTCGTTAATCTATTCCTTCCCATTTCAGTGGGACCGGCAGCTACTTACATGCTCACGTGTCCCATATTATTGTGTTTCTTTTCCTATAACCACCCCAAGCTGCACAACTGTGTGGGCGTGCAGGTGYGATTGATCACTGTGTGATGTTCTCCATCAAAACTGGATTGAAGCCCCAATTCCAAGTAACCGGTTCTGTGAGTGCTTGTTCCTCATGCAGACATGGTATGACATAAGTTCCAATAAAAGCCTTTATGCTTGTATAAAGGGTATAAAACCCCTCTGTTCTTGCAAAAACACATTGTGAAGTGAAATACAGTGGTAATAGTGATACGGGAGGATGATAGCATGTTATGCAAAAAACATCTTTGTTACCAAGTGGCAAAATTTGATAGTCCACAATAGGTAATTTGCTAGGAATAAATGGAGATTTACACAGGATGCAGTTCCCTCTGAAGCTGAAAAATAATCCTGCTGCAGGCAGRTGGCTGGTTGCAGGTTTAGTTGCTAGTTTACCAGTAGGTTCTCTGATGAAAATCAATAATGCTATTCACCAGAAAGTATAGAAGCTTCTTAATTCTCTGGATCTCATCAACTGTGACGCTAACAATTTGCTAAGATTGCCAGTGTCAAATACAATGAACTTGATTAGAGCACGGAGTCTTCTTTTGTTCGATGAACGCAGTTGTACTTTTTCTTCTGACGTCATATTATGTCGGTCTTGTAAGACCAGCAATTTACATTCTTTATCGAGGTGTGTGGCAAATCTTTATCTTAAGAGATATTTTGCGGTAACTTTCAAATTTATGGGGCTCCGTGACRTCTCACATGGTTCCCGACAAGCCCGTTACTGTCAATTTTGCATTTTTGATTTGTCACAATGAAATTTTACAGTTCAAACGTCAAGCCTCCGATCGCTGTGGAGGATAAGAGATTACATTTTCATCCCTGACCCTTGAAATTGCTCTCATACAATGGCTTGATGGCACTAACTTTTCTTCCCTTTTGAATACAGATGAAGCAAGTGTAGCACAGGTACGAGTCAGGTAAAATTCTCAAAGGGTAAGGTTCAGTTTTGAGAATAAATATTTCAGTATGTGTCACTTCAGAAAATACTTCATAATGCAGGAATGCTAAAAAAAGCAGCTGTGCGTGGCTTTTTGCATGCGATCGCTAGTGGCTGGAAGTACTGGATGTAATTTTTAGGGKTTTTTTTTTTAAATTTTGACCTCCACAACATAGGCATTAGCCAATCTTAAGTAAAGCCAACAGCCTTAGAAACAGTTAATGTCCATTTCGGGCTAAGTGCAATATTCAGTGTCTGTCAACAGAAATATATGTCAGCCCTGGAAATTATTCCATKAAAAGGCAGATGCCTGCAAATGTCAGTCATTCATCATCTGTGGTTAAGTTGCTGACTTACCTTCAGTGCTGCTTTGTCTCTTAACCGTGGCCAGGAGCGCTTGGTTTCTTGTGGAAAGCAGAAAACTTTGTTTGAAAAATGGCAGAACTTTGAAATTCCACATTTGCTGTGTGGAATTCTTGCCTCGGTCTAGTTCAGGTAATGCCCGAAGTGGTTGTTTTTGTGTGTATGGCTTGGCAAAGATAATTTACAAAGTTTAAAAATATTACCATTTTCCATGTTGCCAGGTTAGAAAATCGCCATCACCTAACTAATGTTAAAATACAAACGTGAATTCATAGTTCTTTGAAATTTTAGGTGCATTTTCCTAATTTCTTTTCAGATAACAGAAGATTTCCTGGCAACCTATCATGCCAACTATGGCTTCCGTGCAGATGAGACAGACACTTCGTCTGCTTCTGGGACAGCCACCGAAAGTAAGCAACCGGTAAGTTCTAAGACATCGGGAACGCAGTCATCGGCAAATGAGACGGGACCGAAACAAACGGATCCAAAACAAAAATCGGAAAAAAGGAAGCTAGAGCCAGGTAAGTGACAAAGCCCTTCCCTCTGCATAGGCTATGACCTGTATGATACCAAGGGAAAATTTGGCAGTTGTTAATTGTCATTCGGTACAACAAAGATAAGGTTGTGCTGGAAATTTCTGGAATGGTTCTAACATTGTATGATGCTTCATAGGTATCCTGAATCTGTATACAAGTGGGAAAAAAACAAATTATAGCATGTTCAGAGCTTCCCTGTGAGCAAGCAAAAATTCTTATAAATCTGATGGAGTATAAACATTAATGTATGCTCCCATGTTTAATATGTGGCCATAACTGAATTAAAACTCTTGTGTTTAGGGTGGTTTCATGTTGAAGAAGACAGAAACACAAATGTTTATGTGACAGGTAAGTATTAGTGTTTGTTTATCTACTTTGAGCTAAAGATGGTAAAAGAGACTTGTTTACATCTCCAGTATTTTCTGTTCAGTCTGTCACTTGCCAGCTACTTAATGTTGTGTTCCTTCCTTCATGATGTCTTTGTGACCTTTAAATTGCAGATGTGGGAAACAAAGAAGCAGGAGGGACATACTCCGTGCTTTTATCTGCTAAATGTCCTATTCTGTGAGCTGTCAGCTGAGCCACTAATTTGTTCAGAAAGGCAGCCTGTGCAGACTTTTAAGGGAAAGGATAATGACAAGTTTAGAATGAGAGAGTGTATCAAGTGTACACATCACTTAATCTATAGTTTTTGTTTGCTCTAATAAATATTTAATTTACTAGGTAAAAAGGAACAGACACTATAGACAAAGTTTAAAACAGCGTGAGAACATAATGTGGAAACTCAAATGAAATTATCTGTGCCCTTGCTATGATGTTTCTCTGCCTGTTTTGGCTGGTGGGGGTGGGGGGGAGATATCTGGATACATATGCTAAGGTACACTTGGTGGTTGTGAGCAGACACAGGAAGGCACGTACTTGGAATTTCAAAAATCTTTGTCCTGGCCAAACTAGACATAATATTCTCATCCATTTTGGGTTTTTTCTAATCCTCAGTTGAGAGTTCAGACTAGAAAATCTCTATACATTACAAGTTACTCTTTTTATCGGATTTATGAGTGGCAAAAACAGTTGTCCGTTTATAGGTTGCCTTCTTAAGGAGKTTTTTTTCTCTCTGATACCTAGAGGTACAGTGCAATTTGGAAGCCTGTGCAGGAGGGTTACATTTGCAGAGGCCTTTGCGTCTGCTGCAGCATTGATGACGTGTAGGACAGACAATAAAGCTCCAGGCGTGCATATTAGGGAGCACAGAGATGTTTCTGTGCATTACACCTATGAAAAAGTACAAGGATGTTCAAAATACCGGTATGAAGTAACACTTAARAGGTAATGCCCAAGGGCAGCAGTTTCTTGGAATGTGTGTTAAATGTTGTCATTTATTTTGATAGTTTTCATTTAAAGAAACACTGTGGGAAGATTTGTTCTAATGAGGTTGTTTGGTTTTGGGGTTTTTTTTTTTTTTTCTTAAATAGACCATACTAAAGCCTTCCGTTTGAATTTATTTTGCAGGTTTACCTCCAGACATTACAAAAAATGAATTTATACAAGTCATGTCAAAGTGCGGTATCATCATGCGAGATCCTCAGACAGAAGAACACAAGATCAAACTGTACAAAGATAAGGAAGGAAATCTTAAAGGAGATGGCCTCTGTTGTTATCTGAAGGTCAGTGATGCACCGAAATGCAGTTTTCCTTCCCTTCAAAGGTACATATGGCCGATTTCAGAATCACTTTCGGAAGGCTCTTGAAAATCCAAAGTACATTGGATTTATGATGCAAGCAATTTAGAATAGATGTCAGTTTTAAAGATTTGCTCCAGAAATGCCCGCTTACCTCATTTGTTTCCCTGTATCCAAATCCGCCCTTCTCCTGGAAATGGCCGTAATGCTTGCTGAACGTGTCTCTCTACGCGTTCCTGTCTCGGGTGCCAGTGATTATGGGCTGAAATGGAGGACTCCTCACCTTTTACTTTGAAAATATGCCACTGTGTGACCAAGAATACAAAAGTTAGAAGCCAGGAAGAAACATACTGTAGTCCTGTATTTACAACTTTTACTTGAAAACTGGTGTCCTTCAGAACTATACTTGCGTTCTCTATTAAGCTATAACAGTTCATGCTGCAGTACTATTTCCCTAGGTGTTTCGCTTGTGAACAACTGAGAAAGTTGGTGTTTGCAAGCGCAGCCTGCTTTAGTTCTGCGAGAGAGACCAGGCGGTACTAAATGAAATGGCTTGTAGTCTGTGCTATTTTTTTAATTGTAGTAGTTAGGCCTGTGGAGTGCACGAGCGTAAATAYGGTCTTCGGTCTAAAATACTTTTAAGAAAACACTACAAATTACTCAAGTCTCAACATCGGCTGTTCTTGGAAAAGTAATAAAAGTTTTATAGGAAATCAGTCCCCTGAAATATTTTCATCCTTGCTTTTAAGTTSATCAGCTTCCTTGGACATTGCAGTTTAGTGCCTGTGACATATTTAAATGAGATACATGTATTTGGAAGCATTAATCGATTAGAGCAGGAGTGAAGAAATACTGGGTTTTGATCAAGAAAGCATTGTCAGCTGTGTGTCAGAAGACTTGGCATTATGGTTTTCTGTGACAGGGACTTGATTCTAAGCGCAATATACTTAATGACATGTTACTGAAATAATTTGACTTTGCCATGTGCTTTGAAGCTTGCGCTGTGTTTTATCTTCAAATAGAGAGAATCSGTTCAACTTGCTTTGAGGCTTCTGGATGAAGCAGAAATACGAGGCTATAAATTGCACGTGGAGGTTGCAAAGTTCCAACTGAAGGGGGAGTACGATGCAAGCAAAAAGAAGAAGAAATGTAAAGACTACAAGAAGAAGTTATCTCAACAGCAGAAGTTTGTATTTTTATTTCAGTACAATCTTGCTTGAAATCTAACTGCTGTTAGGGAAGTGGTGCTCTCTTTCAAATGCAGTGCAAGGTTATGCAAAATTTCAATTCTTTTCTGACAGTGCACTAGCATAACTATTGCACATTTGAAGGGGAGGGTCTCCTGGAGTAAGCGTTGATATAATAAACTTTGTGATTCGCACATTAAAATAATACATAGGGAGCAACGGTGCCTTCAGATGTTCGAGAAAATATTACAGCTGTGGGAAAATAAGATTCTTTTCCTCAGTGGGTAAGAGGGTGCAAGTCATGTCACGATATCTGGGCTTACCGTTGGAAGGTTGTAACGCTCTGGCTGCTCACATATATTTAGTGCCATACCGCGCTGGTTGCACAGGGCGAGAAATGCTGCCTGCCACGGGAGCAAATACTAAAATGTCTCTCTGGATTCCCCCAGACATCTCTCTCTGCTATAAAATATACTGGGGTTTGACTTGTACCTCAATTCGTTGCTTTTGTCACTTAAAAATGGTTTTTCTGCCTTTTGGAACCAAGAAGATGCAGATTAAAGAGGAAAGCAGTTTGATTATAAGGCTTTTGATATTTTAATGAAAGCAACATTCCACTAAGCATTGTAAATATTAATGCAGAAATGTTTTCCCGTAGTTAAAGGCCGCAAAGGCTACTTGATATCTTATCGGTTAGAACCAGAAGTAGCTCAAAATGTTTCTACCTCGCAGATAGACTGACAATTGTTGCTGGAAAAAGTGTCCGGTGTGTAGGCAGGTGCGTGAAATAATGAAATTGCGTGGGACAGCAATTTGTGTGAATAAAAGGACCGTGTTCCTTTTGGGTTGAAGAGCATAATTTACCGGTAAAACTACTCTCATTGGAAATCCAAGTTTTCTTTGGCTAAAGTAGCAGGTACAGGAAGAAACTTAAGTTTTCCCCTCCAGTGTACGATCTTGAGATTTAAAAGTGTAAGTAAACGTGCAAGGGTTTTCGTAATAGAATACGAGGTAGGTGTGTCTATGAGAAGTAAGATTTGCCGTGAGAAGGGGAAGTCCCAAAACAAATGTGCTGSGTTACGTGGGTACTTTGCATTAGTGGCTCTACATCTTGTAGTAATGCCCGTAACAGTCAAAGTGTATTTTAAAGAAAAGCAGTTAAATTTTACCAAAGGGAGTAGTGCATCTCCTTTTTTACAAAGTAAGTTAGGAAAAAGAGGTAAAATACCGGCACTTTAATTGTCCTTGAAAGCAGCTGGTTCCTTTATCTTAGCTGATACTAGGATGGAATTAATACTTCATAAATTTTCTCTCACTGTTTTAAGAAACACTTTACTTGGAAAAATTATTTGGATTCCCTTTGTGAGCTTTTAGGTACATTAAAACCTCAAATACTTTGTAGCGGTAGTAAACCTCGGTAATTACTGCATTTTTTTAGACTAATAACTTGACTCTTTTTGTCAAAATATGTGTTGATGTATTGCAAGAAGTGCCAAATTAATGATTTTTTTCAACAAATACTTGTAGAAACTGAAGAGAGCCGCAAGAATATCTTCTTACTGTTGCTTCATTTCATTAGACAGCTGGATTGGAGGCCAGAGAAGAAAGATGGGTCAACTCGAATGCGGCATGAACGCATTGTTATTATCAGGAACATGTTTCACCCCAAGGACTTTGAGGTAACAAGATGCGGTTTGCTGCCGTAGATGGTGCTGTTAAAATTTAACGTTGTCTGAACTTCCTGCCGTACAGATTTTAGCAAAATTCTAAGCAGATGCAAACAAACCTGGCTGTTTTCCATGGGCCAGACATCTGCTTAAAATTCGTTCCTCTCTAAACGCAGGGAAAAAAACGTTGGTAAAGGACGTATTTTGCAAATCAGGGTTTTTCGTTGTCCGTATCCTGGCGATACTCCTTTCTGAGTTGGAAAGAGGGGTAAACAACATTAATCGTTAAAGTTGAGAAACCAACATAAAATAGCTTTATTCAAATATGAGAGCTGTCTGTCAGTTCCCAGGTGGCTTTGAAAATACGGCACCGAATTCATGAACCTTCACCAGATTGGCAGATGCGTGCTGCCGGCAATGAATCAGAAGTAAAGCTGAGAGCAGTGAGTGCTTGTGTGTAATGAAAGCTGTGTGATTGCTTTGCAGGAGGACCCTTTAGTACTAAATGAGATAAGAGAAGATCTGCGGACTGAGTGTGAAAAGTTTGGTCAAGTAAAGAAGGTTCTCATATTTGATGTAGGTATTCTTACATGTTGTGTTGGCAGAATTGGTGTAATGTGCAAAACGTTCAAGCTGCTTTAAATCTTTCGGTACTTTCAAATTTTTGGAACTTAATGTCTAACCACCTGTTTAATATAAGTTGTCTGTCCTTACAGAGGCACCCTGATGGCGTGGCTTCTGTGTCATTTAAAGAAGCAACAGAAGCCGATCTCTGCAAGCTGACTCTAAATGGAAGGTGGTTTGGTGGCCGTCAGCTCAGTGCTGAAACGTGGGATGGTGTAACAGACTATCAGGTAGCCTTTCATGGTTCTATTTTRTCAAATACGTCTTCCAAACAGTAGATCTCTTTCCATTCTAGGAGTGCTTGGYGTTTCCATCCCCATCCCCATACCCTTCCCGTGCCCATCCCTGCGTTATCTTGCTTCTCTTCAAAAGCTGTAGAATGCCTGCAAAAATCATTCTCAATTACTTAGCTTAGCAAAAAAGTAAATGTTTGAGTACTAGCTAGTACTCTAACTAGTAAATGTTAGAGGATTAGCCACTGGATGTACAGATCGTTAGTTAGCATTGAGATATTTCTGTAATATAAGTGTTTGTTTTATTTTGTCTGGGTAAATACTCATTTTGACAACTGTAACTGCAATTATGTGTATAAACACTTGAACAGGTGGAGGAGACTGCAAGAGAAAGAGAAGAAAGGCTCAAGGTGTGGGAGTCGTTTTTAGGGGATCCCGATGCGAAGGAGCAGCAAACTCCGTCTGATTCAGATTCCGCGTCGAGTAGCGTTAAACTGGCTGAAGGGAAACAACCTCCAGAGGTTGATGACCCACCTAAGGAGGATGCAAATGATGAAGCTCATAAGAGGGAGAATAAGTGTGGAGGCATTAATGAAGATGGAGCCCCCTCCACAGACAGCAGCCTCGCAGGCAGCGATGATGAAGCCRATACATAACACTAATGCCGTATGAAAGCAAGATTTTCAGAGTGGTATTTGAGTGTTTCCCTTTCTTCAGGGTGATTGCAGATAATATTCATACAAATATAGGCATATTAGAATGTCATCAAGCGTGTGCTTTGAAGTTTTCATTAATCGCAGTGTTTAATGAGGTTCTCAAAGTTTGATTAATTGGCCGTTCAGGTAAAGTAACTCAAGTTGCTAAGAACGCGGTAAAACTCATGAGGCTTCTTTTGTTCTAACTGTGCTTGTCAGTGTTTCATCCTGTGAGTGTGAAACATGTTCCAACCCTTAAGTTTATGTAACTGTATGTAACTTAAGTAATGCAAAGCTTTTGCAAGATTTGTGTATTTTACTGTTAATTTCCCTATACCACTCGGAACTCAGTGTTTCAATGGTTTGTACGTTGCATCGTTCTGCGGAACGGGTGCTGCGATACACGTCGGGTGAATGCGTTGGATGCGTTGCTATCTGTTGGGTGGCAAGTGATGAGTACCACCAAGTCACAAGCTTAAAGAAAGTGGCAATGTTGCCATAGCGACCCTAAGGCAAACTGAGTGAACCTAGATTATTAAATCACAGCGTCCAGCAAATTATTTTTTCCTTCCCCCCGTTTAGATCTTCTGTTTATGTTGGATAGAGGCTGGAATTATATCGAGGAGACTAGAAATGCATGAGCACACGTTCCAGGCCATAATAAGATTGATCTTAAACTCACAGGAGTATGCATGCAGTAGGTATCGAAGCGCGCTTTTGTTTTTTGCAGTGGCTTTATTAGTTTTTGGTTTTATATTACAATAAGGGTTTTTGTTCAGCTTTGTTAGCACAATGGATGCAAGTTCTCCTCAAAATTTTAGTTTAGCCCTGCATGCTCCCCCGAGTGGGGAGGATCTTCCGTGTTTCATAACATTTAAATGCTTTGGGCAGCTCAAACGACAGTTTGTTGTGCAAAAGTTAAAATGCTCTAAAGTAAGTTTTTAGATAATGCTCTTACATGGAAAAAGCAAATGCTGGCCCTCTTCAAAATATTTCCCAAAGCAAAGACTTAGAAGATACTCTAATTTTAGATACCTTAGTAAGTGGCAGGCTTTCGGAAATAACTGTGGTAGCTGTTTTGGGCGTAGTCATTCTTCATTTAGAGTTCCATTATTTTGATAAATCAGGATAGAAGAACATGGATTTAAGCACTAGACAATTAAAAACTCATAGCATGCTGTTCATATGGGTGGTTACCAGTATACACTTGCAAAGAGGATCTGTGGAATTTTTTGATTCGTATCGGATTGCAAGAAATTATAGATGCTAATTCTTCTATTTCCATCATGAGGTAATCGGAATACTCTGAAGATGTTACTTTCAGACCTTGTCATCAGATATTACAATTGTGTATTTTTTACTGAAGTCTGTAGGGCTCTCTAAGTTTATTTTGTGGGGTTTTTTTTTTTAATATGTAGTCAGTATGTGTGGGTGTCTATGCCAAACAAAGCATCTAAGTTATCACTTGCCACTTGTGGTTATAAATTGCATCTTTTGTGACAAAACTAGCTGTCATATTTGAATTCGGGGCTTAAAAAAGTCTGGGGGCTTGTAATGTGYTGTTATGACAAATTCCCTATTTTGAGTTGCATTATGAAGAAGAGGTGTAACTCTTGCCAGCTAAAAAAAGTCCGTTTTCTCATCTTTCCGAGCGCATGGATTGTGCGTTTCGGCAAAGTAGGTGTTTGAAGAGTTCAGGTAATCTGGTTAGTATCTGTGCGTAGTGGCGTATTCAGATACGTTTCTGGGTTGCGTTGGTTCTGCCTTAGTTATTTTTATTAGTAATAAGCACCGCAGACCTTTGAGAACTAGAAGTGTTTGCATATGAGGAGTGTAATGTCGTGTGGTGAGTGTGGCTTTCTATGCTCCTTTTTTATTCCAGCTTCTAGACTCCAGGCTTTAGGTTTCCTGTGTTTCGTTTGCTTGTTTGTTTTTTGGTTTTTTTTTTTTAAGGGAGCCCAATTGTGTAACACTACACACTTAAATCATCTGTTTTACAGTGGAGTAGCAGCTGATATAGGGAAACTTGTGGACAGATGTATAAAATATGTGAAGTTCTATAATGCCTTATCGTGGTATGAGATGTGGAAAACAAGGTTAGTGTTTGAAATAAGACTTCAAAAAATAAAGAATTGTTGTATGTGCAGTAAACCTCGCTCTCTCTTGCATTTGATATGCAAATTTAACTGACTTGCTGCAGAAATCCAATGTGATCTTTGTCTTTTAACCTCCTTTAGACTTCACGCTAAAGTAGAACACCGACAAAGACCGAGACCAAATACTTTACTGGCTTTCGTATTAACTAGGATTCTTAAAAAATAAAACCTTTTTTTCCATGCAAATACGTTGTTCTGAACATAATGCTCAAATTCATATTTTCCTTTTGTCTACCTCTACTTTTCCCCAGTAAAATGTAAAAATATATTTTTGTAAACTATTCATTGAGTTATTGAGGCATTTAGTACTCCAAGGAGAGGTTAATGCAGCTGTGACTTTTCGGCAGATTGTCATTGAGACTGAATTCATGAGATGTTTTCCTTTTTGAAATTATGCAAATTTTTATAAATCAAACTGAACAGTAATAAAAAAAAGTTCACAGAAGTTCAAAGAGCTATTTTGGAGTATGATTATGAAATTCTCACACTATCAAGCAGTAATGTTTAATACAAAATTTTAACGAATCTGAACAGGCTGAGTTGCTTTTTAAACATACATATTTTCCTTACTGAACGGGATCATACATAAATTGGTAAGACATTAAAGCCCTAATGGAATTTTCACATTATTAGTTCTTCAATTAGAAATGTTTTCTAATTACTTTTCTTGCTTATTAGAAGTGACAAAACCCACCTTTTTGCTCCGTTTCTAAGGTTTTTTAGGTCCCGTTCCTGTGTTCCGGTATACTGCATGTTCTTCCATCCCTATGCTTTTGGTGAGCGGTTCATTTTAAGAGAATCTGTGACCTTCCCTCTGTATATGATGAAAACAATAACTAGCAGTGGACTGAAAAATTTGTGGGTAATTTTTTTTGGCTCTGTTTTCAACTAGAGAAATGGTTGTTTCTACCAATTCGCAGTGTAACGGATGTGAAGCCGCTCTGAATACAACAGCAGGGACAGAGTATTAATGATCCTTCAGCATAATTTGGTATAATTGCTTTCTGAACCGTCCAAAATCATGGCTTAGCTTCAGGATACATTGGTAGTTTGCTTTAGAATCGAATGCTTTTCAGTGGGTTGTTAGGGAGGAATTTTTATGGAGTTAACGTATTCGCCAGAGATGATGTGGCTTGAGCATGGCCAAGGTGGACGCCTGGAAAAAGTCTCAAAAGGCTTTCTAGAAAGTTTTCTCTTTTTTTGCAGGTTCTCGAATGTTCATATACAGGTGTAAAGGGAGAATTAGTTTCATTTTGCATCAAAATGTTTATCTGTTTCTCCTGCTGATTTTTTTTAATTATTTTTTTAATTTAATTTCCATCCCTCGGAAAGCTTCGGTTTTGTGTAAGGATTGCAATTCACTTAAAATCTTTAGTCCGTTACATGCAGGGCATTTTAGCTAAACCATGTCCTAGAGGTTCTACAGGTAAGGTTAATCTGTTAACAATTACAAATATTTAGCTTAATTACCTCAATTCACTTGAGAAAACTTAAAGGTGTCAAATGCTTCATAGAAACCCAAACTTGGCTTTCTGATTTTTTTGGCTGAATTCTTGAACCTAAACAAAACCCAATTTGGAAAAAAATACAAATACATTCCTATAGATTTTAATTGGATTTTAAAATTTTTATTTCTGAATTAGAGGAAACATGCTGCTGTATGGTAAATGAATTCTGTGAGTTGTGTATTTGTGTTGATTTGACTTGTATGTGTTTCAGTGCTCATTATAGCTTGACATCTTACTGTCAGGATACTCTAAGAGTTCTGTAAAATATTTATAAAATTATGAAACCTTTTGCTGCAAACATTTTTTTCTCATTCTGTAATATGAGAGTAAATTATTAGATTAAACTTTTAAGTAAGTTGACTTGGAATTTTTTTCTGACAGGTCGTTTTCTTTCTTTAGAAAAGCAACATTAAAAAAGCAAATTGTATTTGAATAGTATCTACACTTGTGACAGCATCCGAGAATCCCTTTGTTTGCTTTCAATTTGTTTCTTAAAGGGGTTGTGTTTTATACTACCTTTTTAATAAACAAACTCGTGAACGGAACAAGTCTTTGCTGATTAGTTTTGACATAATGTATTTCCCTTTTTTCCCTCAGAAAATGACGTATCATTTGGTGCACAGGGGCTTCGATTTATAAAGCACGTGCATTAGCGTGCCAGAGCTTCCAGCTGGACCCCGTACACGTGTTGCTGTAACTGAAAATGGGATATGGTATTTGTTTCCTGTTTATGGGATTGCTCTCAGCCGTCTTCCTGCCCTGGGGTGTTACTGGACCTGCATGGAGAGAAAAGGAGCGGGAGGAATTGCTGCAGACACTGTAGTTCAAATTGAGATTGTGAGGACGTTTTTAATAAGGGCAGGTAGAATTTTAATTTTTCCATCTCAAAGTTTTTTAGAAATTTATTTTCTTCCAAGATTAGACACTTAATATGCTTCAAAAGCACTGGAAATGAGTCATTCAATTCCTGTACTGAAAAACAGGGGTTAAGATCCCATTTCACCCTGTAGTTCTTTCTAGGAGCTTGAAACTGATGCCATCATAACCTGAGGAGTGCTTTAACTGACAGCCTGAGAGGAAGATCTCAAATAAGCTCTTGAAAAGCTTTAGCTGAGGAAATCTCAGTCATATGAGACAATTTAGAAAAGGGTGTCAGAGAAGGAGCAGGGGAAATGTTGAGGGTTCTTGCCCTGCTGATGGACTGGAATCCAGTCTGTCTCACAATGAAAATGTGTTTATGCGAAGTGTGTGTCAATAAAAGACTAAGCACTGACACGGGAACTCGGGAACTCTCACAGCCCGGTAGTTAAGTTGTTCTGGGAATGGCAGAGGGCGGATTCATACCTATTTAGGCAGAGAGAATTGGATTGTGCTCTCCTGCTTTCTGGATGAGTAAACAAACTCCGAAGCTGCTCTAAAAAAGACATAATGTCACCATTTTGGTTGCTAGTTCCCCAGTGTGTTTTTTCCAGCTGAGACTGGCAAGTTTGACCCTGTTTCGGCATTTCTGGAATGGCTGCAATTTCCTAGTTTTGGCAAACTGTCTACAAAAAAACCTCAAACTCTTCCCTTCTACAGTCCTTACAGAACAAGAATGATCTTTCTTTTTTTTTTTCATGTAGTTATTAAAACACGTCCAGCAAAGAAAAGTGAGAAAATTGGTTATCCGGTTTATCTGAGTTGGGAACAGGTCATCTTTTTCTCACAGGTGTTTATAGTTACCAACTTAATAGTGAATATTCTGTAGCACGGCAGAGGAAAAGTCGTTTATCATCCTGGCCGAGTTTGGTTCTCTAACATAACTTGTTTATCATCCGATTCCGAACTCTTCCAAAGTCCACACTGTCTTACTTGTTGTGCATGCGTTGTCATAAAAAAAACCCCAAACCTACTTACAAGACTATTTTCCTCATTCCTGAAACCTCCTAACCTGGTTGACTTGTTGGAGTGCATTTCATGCATTCTTAGCAGATAGGCTGAAGGAAACGCCTCGTTCTGCGCAGCTGGAGGCTAGAAAGTGTGGGGAGTTTCGTGAACGTAGCTCGTCTCCTGCCGCGGTTGCTGCAGCGCGCTCGGGGCCAGTCGGACCTGGGAAGGATCACGACCTGCCGGACGCAACATGAGCGTCCCGCATCTGGAAAATCTGACTGGTGTGACACCACTGCCGACAGTGAGTTAAGGTAGSAGAAGTTGGGAGTAACTCTAACCCATATTCACTAACTTCCTCAAATGTTCCTTTATTTGAGGGATAACTTGATGAGAGGGCTTGTTTAATTGTGGCTTAGTACTTGGGAAGCAGGAATTTTTAAAATTTGTTTTTAAAACTGCTTTGAGTGATATGAAATCAAGAACAGAGTTCCCCGTTGGATGCTCCAGTGATGGGAAATCAATCCCCACATGGTAAGGGTGGGGAATGCGAAAGACATTGTAAAGTAATAGCGCTTGTGGTTAGCTGTCAACAGCCACCTCTCTTAAGCCGGCGTTGACCGTGGGTCCTTGTCCACCTGAAGGAGAAATAACTTGGACAATTACTTGCACTGTTTTTGCCATTATCAACCTATTCTGAGAGTAGTGTGATGTGAGCCGAGTCCTTCTCATCCTGAGCTCCACTTCCACTCTATTTGGACAATGGTGTGTGGTAGACACAAGTTGGAAGGATTTCTGCCTTTTGCAAACTAAGTGCTCCAAATTTAGGTCCTGTCTCCTGGGGCATTATAATCCTTAGGCACTTACGATCACTGAGAGGACTGAGATGTAACCTAGGTTATACCCAGCCTTCTTCTGGCTGCTTGTTGGAAAGCAAAAGAGGTTTCCAAGGGAAATAAGGTGGAAAAATGAATAGATGACCTTTTTTCTTTCACATGTATTATTTTTCCAGCATTGTAACTGTGATCAACAATCACACGAGCTGCCTCACAACAATAAAAGATGCTAAAGCAGGCCCAAATTAATGTCGGGAGACAGTTAGGCATGATAATAAAATGATACAAAGACACAATGTTTTGTACTGAGTGAAGAACAGGGTAAGTGATCCATTAGCCCCTCTGGGCCAGGGCTAATGCTTCCTAAATTGTATGTTGATGTGTAGTGCTGGAGCAGAGTAGGAAGAGCTGCTTTGGTGCTTGCTGTCAAGATGACTCTTTGTCCTTTCTCTGGCCATGTGCTTCCTCATGTCTTTGCCAAGCTTTTACTCCTTGGGTTGCAATTTTTAGTGGCAATTGCTGGCCCCCAGCAGAGCAACTGGGAAGTTCCTTGACTTAAACAGCAGGATGCTTTCTAAAACAAGACTGGGAAAAAACAGTGTCTCTTCCTGTGCTCAAAGTCCTTCCAGTTGTTTGGCTGGACTGTGCTAGGATTCCTGCTTTACCTCGTGAGCCTTGGGAAAGTGCCTGTAGATCGGGAGGATGTGGTTTTTTGTTTAAGTTTTCCATGCCTGGGAAAGCTGGGTCAGTTTTAAAGTTGCGAAAGATTGCCTTCTGATTCGGATGACTGTCGGAGTGTGACTTGCAATCCTGTTCCCACTGCTATGTTTAGGTGGATTGGAGGCAAAGCAGTAGAAATCCTAAGAGCGGGGCTAAGGACCTCTTGAGTCTGGATGAGTTGGTATTTGGTGACAGGAACCGGGCTGGCTGAGCGAGTGACTATGAAGCGGGGAGAACTGAACACACCACTTGCCGGAGGGAGGTGGAGGTAACAAGCAAAACTAGACAGGGAAGCAAATAATGAACATGGACACGAAGTTTGTAGGTGAAGGCTTAAGCATTAAAATGGGGATAGATTACAGTTTGATAACATTAATCCTCATATTTCTTACTATCTGGATACCGGTCTTGCATTCTGAACAGTTTTCTTTCATGTGCAAGAAAATTCTGAGAGACCACTTGAAGGTAGTCTTCACAGGCACTTCCGAGTATCCTTTGAGACACAGATGAGTGCAATATTTATTGGAACACTTCTGAGGATTGAGGGTTTTATGATTAGGAGAGAAATCAGATAAATGTGTTAAGCAGTGCTGTGTATTGCAGGGTTAGTTGAATGGAAATGAAAATCTAATGATTCATTATGTTTTATGCCGTACAACTGTGTATTAGCCAAAGATTTCCCCAATCTCTGAAAAATAACAGCCTTCCTTTTGCTACCAAGGTAAATCAATTATGCTATGCAGTGTCATGAGCTGACAATGAGACTGGAAATTTGAATAGAAATAGCAGGCRCTCCACTGCGTTTCTAGCTTGAGTTTTGCTAAATATGATTTTCATTAGAGAAGGACTTGTGATCTCTGGCCGGGGAACTTGCTCCGCTGCGGCCAGAGGCTGTACAAATGCATGAAAATGATGCTTTTGCAGGGCAAGCGGTGGCATTCCTTGTCCTACTCCTTACGTATCTGGCAGCAGAGATTTTTAAAGAGAACAAAAAGGAGTCTTACAGTCTTCCGTTAACTTCCTGCCAACTATTTTAGTGTGGTTCCTGCCTTAAACCTGTGAATTCTGTTCGACCTACAGTGTGTTTTAGCAGTCTTGCTCCCAAAATCTTAAGCAGCTGGTAGACCCACCATTTACCTAGATAAGTTGTTTCAAACAACCGAAGAAAAGGTTATTTCTTTCGTTGTTTGGTTTTGTTGTTGGTTGTTTTTTTTTTACTTGACTTTGCCATTATTTGAATTTCCAGTAATTTAATCTGAGTGTCTTTTTCTAACAGGTGAAGCAACTAATTCCTCTTAGAAGTCTTTTTGTTTTGGAGATCTGTGCTGACAGTGATCAAGGTACTTCAGACTTCACCTTAACTAATGAATATAGTGGCGGTTTGAATTTTTTCTTGGTATTGTTTTGTTTGGTTTGGGTTTTTTTCACTCTGTCATTATGTTTTTTGAACAATGCCAAAACCAAAATCGGACAAAGCGTTATGGTCGGTTCACCCTGACCTTCGTTCAGGGATAGTGCCATGTCCAAATTATTTTTGTGTTTCCGTTCTTCCGGCACAATTCCATCCTGAGGGCACATTAGAACACTGCTAGGTGCTAAGCCCAGGCTTACAAAGGCAGTGTGGCAAATGACAGCTGGTGTATAGATGTGTCCATTTTGCCCAAGTATTTCATTTTAGAAGCATCTAATCAGGAAATCGGTAAAGAGGAGGTGCATGGAAAAAGCAGAAACACAGAGAATCTAATCCTGCTAGTAAGCGTTCTTCTGGCCCTACTATTTTCAGGAGGAAGCTGGGCTCGCCACTCACTGGGCACTTTAAGTTGAATATTGTCTCTTTGACCTGTCTGGGTTTTTTTTGTTTAGGTTTCTTGGTGTTTTTTTTGCAGGGCCTGTTGGTCATTGAAATGGAAGAAACAAGGAAGCTCTCCCCAAAGCTGAGTAAAAGCAAAGAGCCTGTGAGAACAGAATGGGGATCTCAGAGTGTGGTGTTCACCTATTTCCAAGGGGACATTAACAGCGTGATAGATGAACATTTTTCTAGAGCTCTTAGCAACACCAAGAACCCCCAAGACTTGAGCACAAAGCACAAGGGTGAGACCATTGTCCTGAAAAATGGTGAGCTGCTTTCCATATGTGAGCCTGGTATTGGATGGGGGTGACTGGCTTTCGCTAAGGAATTTAAGATCCCTTGAGCTTAAATTTGGAATTGTGTGCAAACAAAAAGCAAGAAAATCATACTTGTGAAGCCCTGGGTTATGTAGTTGGGACCTCCTGGGTAAATCCCTGCGATTGCTGGAGTGATTCCCAAGTTTTCCATGGGCCTCTTGGCAGGGCTAGGTCATAATTTTACAGCAAAGTGTCTCCATCGCTGCTGGATACAATAAGTGTTTTATGAATTAAGTTGTCATCTTTACAAAAATGGATTTGTCTAAGCTTGCAGCTGTCAAAAAATCTGCTTAGGCTGGAGGCCATGTAGTACACATTTAATACTTAGTAGAAACATTGACGGTGATGCTTTAATCTGCTTTTCATATGAATTTATGCTTCATTTATGATTTATGTAATATGATTTTTAAGATAAGTGGCACTACAGTGAATATATCGTTCTGTAAGAATGAATATGCAATCTGGTAGCATTCCCTTAGAAGTCCAGTGGAATTTGCCTTGGGAAAAGAAGTAAGAATTGACAAGACTTCTGATGCTTTCTTTCTCTTTCTAAGTAGACAGCATGTCTCCCCATCAGTGGAATTTTTCTTCACATTGCTACAAACCATATCAGTCTTCTTCTGTGACAAGCGTGGCAAACTGCACTTTGAATTTTTCTGCTGCTGGTGTGGCAGGCCAGTACCAGCCATCGTCTTTGCGGAGTCATCCGGCTCAATCTGCAGGTTTATGGCCGTTCCCTCCGATTGGGACTCCCAGTGTCACCAGTTCAGCGTATCCTCACACCTTCCCCGACCTGCATGCAGCCAATGAGCCGCTCTCTGACAGGAAATACAGTTCTCTTCTTGGCCTTCTGCAACAGGAAAGGTGCTTAACATCCACGCAAGAATGCACCGTGAAGCAACACTCAAGTTCCGCTTGTATGACTGGACCTGCCAGGTTACAAAATGTGAGTCAAAGTTCAGCTCCTGAGAGAGGTAAGAAAATACTATCACTTTATTCTTTGATGAGATCTGGTGTAAAGTGACAGAATAACACAGTCTGTACCTGAGCTTCTCAAGCTGGACACAACTGCAGGCAAACTCACAAATCTTTTACAGTAGATAACCCTGATAAATACTGTAGTATTGCATGCGTTACATGTACTGTGGTATTACTGCAGTTAGCCATATAGTATGGGTTAACCAAAAAGTGCATTGCCTACTCACGCAATTTTTTACCTTCTGGCTTACATTGAGGAGATATTTTAAGTGAATATACGCATATTCATAGTGCTATCACAATCTCTACCCCAAGGGTATTAGAAGTGACACGTACCAGATGACCCCTCATTGGGACCAGACGGCGGTGCTCGGGAAAGATCCCTGAGCAGCCTCTCTCACTGTACAGCGTGTTAGTGATATTCTGAATACAGGATGGGAAGCTATAGCCCTTACCATCACAGCCGAGGGTTTTTCTTCCTCCCATTCTCTCTCTGCAGCTAGAATGATGAGGGTACACAGGCTGGTGGACCAGCCTTGCCATGTCTCCTGGCTAAGAGCTCCCTGCCTCGAACCATTGTTCCCCTGCCTGCAAAAGGCTGTGTCTGCTCCCTGCAAATTTCCCAGAGCTAATGCAATTCACACAGTGATGACTGTTGCTTGTTTATTATCCACAATTACTAGGAATCCCAATCCTAGATACTGCCAGCAAACAGCAGAAAGATGCCTGAAGTCCATTTATGTCCCCACAGTGTCTAGATTTGCTGGATAGTATTGGTCCCTTGCAAGTAATTCTGCCTTTGAGAAGCTCTCTGGGGTAAGGGTTCCTGGCCAAATCTCTGATGCCTGTTGGGCTTCCTCTGCACTGCTGTTCCTGGGCGTTCCCCAGTCAGGCAGCTTGATGCTGGTCTCCAAGGAAAACGGTTGTGAAATGGTTTGGGGAGTCTGCTGGAAAAATACAGCGTGTCCTACCTGGTGCTTCTAGACAAAAAAAGATCAAGTGCTTGAAGAAACAATCCTGAGGCTTAGGTTTTGAAAAATAAGCAAATATCAAATACCTCCTGTTTACCCAGTTTTGAAAGTGCATCAGCGGGAATTTGGCAAAATGTGGACTAAAGACTGCTTGCAGATATAAACAGAAGTATATCTACAGTTCCTCTTTTGAGGATACAACAGAGCAATGTTGTTGCGAGGACACTGACTGTAGATGTTTTGTTCATTTACTCCTGCTAGAATGTCTAATGCCTGTGTCTGTTAATGGTAAAGGGAAAGTGTCTTTATCTTCAGCAGTAATGGAGACTTTCCGCTCGTGGTGTATAAGCAGAAGTTTTGTGTATATGTTGCACAGGCACTCAACCTTGACTTCATGTAGGTAGTGCCTGACGGTTTAACTACTTTAAAGACACTGTCAGGACTTCAGGGATTTCATTTAAGAACAAGTTAAGGTACCCTCTTCCCCCAAGGGGGCAATATGAGCCTATCAAGACTTGGGAGCCCCAGGAAATTACTCCTTCAGAAAATGAGATATTTCATGAAAGCAATCTTGTGTTGAAAATAGGGAAGCACTGCTAACCATAGTGGTCTTTTTTCCCCCAAAACTTCACAGAGAAAAGGAATGAGGAAAAAATTAGAATGGAAATTAAACAGCTCAGTGTTCCCCAGCCATTACCAATTAAAGCCTTTTTGTTCAGGATGTATACAGGGCCTTTCTGAATATTCAGGGAGCTTCGAAGCACCACGCATGTAACACCATCCATGTGATTATCAAACAACCCAACGAGGATTGATAAGAAATGGCTGGTCCACGTTCTCAAGGAGTCTGGCAAATCCCTAGGATGTGTACATTTAGTTTGGCTTTGGGAGTCCCTGTTTCCTGGCTCTGTCAGTAAAATATACTTCTTGTGCTGTGTCATGTTTAAGAACAGCTGATATTTACATTTATGGAAGTGTATGTTTTTGTGCCAGACAGCACAAATTCCTCAGCACCTGTGCTATAGGCTAGGCTGCAAAAGCGCAATGTTTCTTTAGTAACTACTATCTACTTTTAGCTCTGTGCTGAATCTCTGCTCATTCCCAGTATTTTTATTTTTTTTAAGAGAGGAGAACAAGTTCTTATCAAGGCTCAGAAAATCCCAGTGTAAGCCATGCCGCTGCAGGTGAGTAAAGAAACGGCAGGTTTGGAACAAATCTGCAAGACAAACAAGACAGCAGCCTTTCTTGTGCATGCAGAATTAAAAATGATTCTTTGTTTGCTTCTGGACTGTATTTCAAAAGCTTGCTTTTCCCCCAGATAGAACCACCACCTCCCATAACTGCATTAACAAAGAAAAAGAAAATAATTACATTATATTACAATTAGATACAGGATTTTTTTTAAGTCACTGTACCTCTGTTTCTGTGCTTGTACCATCAGGCTGCCTGTTTTGCACTCGCTGTCCAAATTTCAGATCCCAGAAAGATATAACAGCCCTCGCTTTGTACCTCAAGCACCCATGAGGATAGCACTGCTGCAGTTAGCACCAACAAACCCAACCCACTGCTGGGTGAATTGTTCGAAGAAATTATTCCCAAAGCATTCAGGCTTCAGTATTTTCATAGTCTCTTGAGACTGGTCATACCCCATGTTGCTTCATTGGTGTGCAATGTTTTGGGGATACTTTGGATGGGTCATTCTGGTTATTCTAGTAAGGGCTCTTTCGCACCAGACCCAAAGGTGCAATTTTGTTTGCACAACATGTTAAGAAATTGCAAGGACAGTGCTGTTTGACCGTCCTGATGCTGCTCTGTCTTTCAGGTATTCAGATTCATGACAGAAGACGAGATTTATACTTTTAGTAATTTGATGTTTCTACTTTATTATGAAAGAGAAAGGTATTTCTGTGAACTTCTATTATTTGCAAATGTGAATCAAGAAGAAATGAACTGCAGCCATCCTCTTTTTTTTTCTCTCAGCTGGAAGAAGACGTGTACTATTTACTGTTTGGGGAATGAAAAAATCATCTGTCTCTAGAGAGTAAATAATTTCTAATGTTTGTGGTATCATCCTCAGTATGACAGTATGTTTGTTGTGGAGTATATTGTCTGTTTAATGCTTTTCATGTAGCTGTCTTGAAAGTACTCTTAGTAATTTTTAATCTTGCTGCATTTATTCATTTACCTTCTACGGACAAGAAGCACAATTCTTACCAATGCAGCTGTTAACCGACAAGCGCACAGACGCAGTTAGCATAAATTCAGTGCTGCAGCTTCTTTGCTTGATTTGATATCTCCATATTGTTTAACATAGTCTTAGTCACTGGCAAGGGACTTCAGCCACAGGCCAGCAACACACATTGTTGTGTTTATGTTTTGAAAGTGCAGCAATTTGTAACCATACTTGCAATGGGGATACTCTTCAGAAACTCTTATAATATGCTTATGCCTGAAGGCTCTGTTTTGCCCTCTCACTAATGCGTAATCATCCCCTAGAAAGCAGTGAATTCACAGTTGCTCTGAGAGGAAACCTGGATTCTCACTGGATGTAATTAAAATACTATTCAGCAAACAGCTGGAATGTTCTATTTCCCATCCTCTCTGCAGGTGTAAAAGGTTATTTTTCTAAATAAACTCTGCGGGTTTATTTTTTCCTTCTCTGCTGGCTATACATTAATTTAATATAATGTCTATAATATAATGATTAGCTTTTTCTGACAGCTCTATGCAGTTACTGAAAGCAATTTGACTTCTGAAATCTAAGCTTGTGATTTTATAGAACAAATCCTGAGCTGGTATAAGTGTTTGTAACTGTCGCACCAGATATCTCTGCTGCAACTGCTCCAGTTGTAACACATTGTGTAATTTTATTAGTAATATGAGTATAGCAAGTTCGGGTGTTTATGGTAGTAACTTACAAACTGAGATTTTAAAAAGAATGTGATTTTTTTGGAAGTTTGCTCTAACAGATACACGTTCTAGATCAATCTGAAATCGCAAGGGGAACACTTTTAACCAAATTAATAAAAGATACACCAATATCCTGTCTCACTATAGATGAACACTGAAAAAAAAATCCACTCCTTTTTAATATTTCAACAAAAATCCCTTTCTTTTCTTCTAAATTTAAGAATACTTCTCCAAGTAGTTTTCTTTTGTTGTCTGAAATCACTTAATTTTCTGATTTTTAAGGCGACATGGCAAGGTAATTTGACTTCCTCTATGGGCTGAAGCCAATATTTCCAAGCTGTACTCTGTGCATGCGCCTGTCTTACTGGCATGTGCTATAATTCTCGCGAACTTATTGCTTCGAAATATTGAAATCTTTTTTTCTTTCTCTTCCCTCCCTTCCAAAGGAAAATGCTTAGATAATTTCACTTAAAGGTCTGAGAAGGCAGTCTATTTAAATGCTCTTAAAGGTAGCGCTTCATTGAACAATTTGGTTCTGGGCATGTTGGAGCTGGTAATATTCAAAACGACTTATGAAGCCCTTGGCTCTGGTGAATCAGCCAAGTGGGGCTGGATAGTGTGAGAGGGAAAAGAACCCCTGTTTTTAAATGCATGTCCCTTATTGCAAGAGCATGAGGCATCAGTAGCTCTGCTTTGACAGGGTAATGCTCCGAACCATTGCTGCAAGGTTTGGTAAATCTTGGCTCTCATTGTCCAGCTCTCTGGCAGATCTGGGGAAAGGGAACAAGTGTCTGAGGAGTCCCAGAGTCCCTGGACTCCTTGATGATTGCAGGCTCCACTCCGGGCACACAGGTGCTTGCTCTCTTCCCTGTGTTTTAGAAGAATGAGGATGGAAAGAGAGCTGGGGCACAAAGGCTCTGCTACTCTGGCATTTTGTCTTAAATCACCACAGCACTGTGCACCAGAGCGTGCCTGGATTTATGGCATCTCACTGTGCTTCTGCAATAAACATAGTTAACCCATCACTGCGATTTGCCTTTAATGATTTAGTATAACAGAGTTTTGAACATTTCAGAGCAGGTCTCTACATCAAGTTGGCTTTTCTTTATATGTGTATAGAATAAGAAAAGATAGATASATATAAATGCTCCTCTAGAATATTGCTTGTCTAGAGGGAAGTGTTTCTTGCTTTCCAGCACAGGCTGTTCCTGGGTTCCTGTGCTACCCTGCTGCTGTCATGCTCCAGTGACTGTGCCTTCGTTCCCATTCAGTGTGTGATCTCCTTGCTGGTAAGGACTTGGCAGCTGGCACACTGCATCCAGCAGCTGCCATTTGGTGCTTCCCACGGTTATTTTCTGTCCCTCCTCTGAATGCAGCAATCCTGGTGGTGATGGGAGAAGGCACGCTGGATGTTCCTGTTTCAAGAGCTTCTGACTCCCTGAATACTAATGGACCTCTGCAGAGACCGCTCCAAAGGATAGACTGGTGTAGGGTGTTACATCTCTGAAAGTGTTCAAAAAGTTCATCGATGTGGCTCTTAMGCATGTGGTTTAGTGCTGAACATAGTGATGCTGGGTTAGTGGTTGGACTTGGTCATCTGGGAAGTCCAGATGATTCCGACCTTCATGATTTTATAATTTTCTATTAATTTTCTGACCCTGTGAGAATCCACTTTTTGCCTTCCACTGTGTGTCCTCTAGTCCGGGAATAATTTGTTTTCACAGACAGGCTTTCCTCCTGTCTTTCTGATGGGCAAATGAGATGCCAACTGCATGCTCTATGAGCTCTGGTAAGAGATTAATGCAGAGAAATAGTCAGACATCGGACGTGCCTTCCCTTTGTGGAGACGGGACTTTTTTTTCCCCAGCTGCAGAAAGTGGTGTGCATTTTTTCACCATATGTGTGTCCCAGGACACACACTTTGCAGCTGTCTTGTTCTGACTCCTCACATGAGCTGGCCCTGGTCCAGGTCCTCCTCTGACGGTCAGATAAACCTTGTGGGCGGCTGGGAGCAGCAAGCTGGCGTAGCTACTCCACCCTACTTTAGTCACTTATTAGTAGTGTTAAAAATAGTCCCAGACTCTGCAGTGACAAACAAGAGAAATTCTTTTGCTATGAAAGAAAAACCTGAAGGTTTATATATACATAAATATATATATGTGTGTGTGTGTGTGTGTGTGTGTGTGTGTGTATAAAAGCAGGAATGCTCATCCCTTTCAAAAAAGGGAACACAAGCTTTTATTTGCTCTCATTTTTGTTCAGGTGTCAATTAATTTGTCCCATCCCAGGTGAGCAAGGGCCATCTCATGTATCCATGTGGCAGGTAGCCTTTGTTAAACCTTCACTCATCTCTGGAATTTTTCACCATTTTGTGGTTTTTAATGCTCTTTTGTGGCAGGCTATACCAAACATGGCAGTCCTGGTCCAGGGTAAAAGTGTTGCTGCACCACTTGGCTCTGTGTTCTGTTTTCCTGAACTGTCTGGTTTAAAACATTGGGCTCAGGGCTCCATTCCGCTTAGCTGCTGACCCACAGAGAGCTTGGTACTCCTCTGAGCTAGCATGTATCATTACACTTGGAGGATTTCAGCAGAAAACTGGTGCAAACTGGAGGTTTTGGTGCCTCATTATCTGGGAGAGGTTTTGGTATCACAGGCCATGTCAGAGGGCTGTGTGTTGCTTCTCTGACAATAATGCTGCACAAGCACCTGCGCTGTGGTTGCATCCTACAGATCGCAGTTTTTATTTACTGAGGAGGTGCAAAGGTGGCTGAGAGGTGGGCAGGCAGTAACTGGACTCTCCAGGGCAACACAGAAGATGTTTCCAGCTGACTGGAGCCATAATCCAGCCGGCTGAGCTAATTTAGATGTGGTGTTCCCCAAAACATCGCGTGAACACAGGTTATCCACAGGCTGTGGGAGGACAGGGGAGCAGAGGTTTCCAGGGAATGTTGCTGCTCAAGTACCATGCAAGATGGGTCCCCACCCTGTGGCACGTTCCCGTCTGTGCAAAGGGATTGTAAATCGCACTTCTTCCCAAGCCTGGAGAGGGATATCTCAGGGTGTTGGTAAGTCTGCTTAGAACAAGGTGTGGTTATCCACTTCTTTGCTGTGTGATAGTGTCTTTAGCCATGACCAAAGAGAACCTGGAGAACCTGGTCTGGATTTCAGTGGGAATAGTGCTTGGCAGCTCCTGAAATTRGCTAAAAGGACATAGTTTGTCTTAGAGATGTCCGATGCCTGCTGTCAATCTGACCTGGCCTTCACATATAGTCCTTTCTAGACACCTTGAACCTCAAGTTCTATTCTGGAAGATGCCTGTTCATCTTCACCATGCAGGGTGGAAAACTTGCTTTGCATCCTGCCCCTGTAATCTCAGATAAGTGAAGGAAAGTGATGTGAGAGCTCCGAGTTTGTACAAAGCACTTTCAGGATTATTTGAAGACTGAGGCTCATCCTTAGAGACCTGAATCACGTACTTTTACCCTCTAGGACAAGCTCAGTGGGTTTTCTGGCTGTTGCAGACCAAGAGGTCCTTTCTGCCTAAAGTCTTCTGAGGCTGCTTTAAGCAGCAGCCAGTGCTTGGAAAAATGAACCTGGTAAAAACTAGAAGGATATTGTGTAATTGCCTGGTTTTGTGGCTCCTGGTAGTTTTACACGGCTGGGCACTGTGGTGTAAACCCACTTTCAGTTCTATTATTTTCTTGGCCTGCAAAACTTAAAAAAAACCTGCCTGCGTCCTTTTTTCAAAGACCCAAACAACCACACCAGAGGCTGCATGCTGCATGTTGTGAAAGGAATTTGGGGGAAATTTGTCTTCCTGCACCGCATCCAGGCTGTGACTTAGAGACACTCTCTGCATCATGTGTCACTGCAACAGAGCTTTACAGTGCGCTTGTGGCAGCACTGAGAAGCAGCACTGCACGACATCATTAGTAGCTCTAGTGATTCAGCTCAGTTCTTGGAAAATTAGGGTGAGTTTGTGGGTAAGGAAGCCGGAAAGGGCAGTGATGATCCTCGGAGGCTGCATTGCACAGCGGGAAGTTACGGATAGCTTGTGGGAGGGCTGGGACATTGTGGTGGGTTGAACTTGGCTGCCAGATGCCCACCCAACCACTCAACAAGACAGGGGAGAAAAGTAAGATGAAGAAGTCTTGAGGTAAGTGCTTGGGTATCACTCTGCAATTACCAGCATGTCCAAAACAGACTCATCTGGGGAAAATAAAGGGTTTTGCTTATCCTGCAACCTTACTTTGAGATAAAATCCACTCTGAAATCATATTGCTCTGCGGATTAGAGCTGGCATGGTGATTTTTTTCTATATACACGGAATCTACTTGGCTGCTTATATCTCTCGATCTTTAGCCGTCCTGGCAACAGAGATGCCTCATTTCACCAGCGATGAAATTGAGACCAGCTGACTTCTCTGAGKTATCATAAGCAACCTGACACGGACAGCAGGAGAAAGTGAGTGTCCTGCCTTCCAGATCTCTCCAGCTATATGACCATATCCCAAAGGCAAACAGGATCCACATGCTGGCTGGCTCGTGGCCTGCAGGGGAGTGTAAGGAGGCTGATGCTGAGGAAACCGACTGGGATGTGCTCTAGGTTTGCTATCCTTTCTCTTCCGCTGCTGAACCTGGTTTCCGGTATGGTTCTCCCAGTTACTGTCASAGATGACAACACAATACTTATGTGGGTAGATTTTCTTGTGGCTCAGCAAAATGGTGATTGTTGAATGATTGTCTTCCCCTCCCTGAACACTGGGGAGAAATAGTCTTTTTTCCCCTGTCTTTAGGCTTAAGGCCAGCAGTATTTTCCCTGAACAGTGTATTCGAGGTTTCCCTTTCACTGTGTTTTGCAGCAAGTGGCCATTCCAGCATTCAAGCCTCTCTGACTGCATCACCTCTACGTACTACTTCCCTCCAGATGTGCACAGGGTTTTAAGCCAAAGATTTTCCACTTTACAATAAGGTTGCTTTTCTGCTAAAAGGAATTACAACCTCTGAGGTTTGGTGACTCACTCAAGAGAGTGAAGAGAAATGTGTCCAATAGCCTGGGCTTATAAGGAGCTTCTCTGGAAAGAAAAAATGTGTGTCCTGAAAAGCATCTGTGTATCCCCGGGTGGTGTCCTGGTTTTGCTCAGTCTGTTTTTTTGGTGGTGGGGGCATGGGACCAAGAAACCACAAAGATGGCTCCTCATCAGGCTACGGTATCATCAGCCAAAGTAAGAGCATGGTGGTTCTTAGTGCGTGTAGGGAAGTGTTGCTGGGGTCTCTAGATGAGCCTGGGCACCAGCAAAGAAGCTGAAATCCCATTGGCCCTGCAATTTGATGTGGTGATCTGTCCCCTGGACCCATAAGTAGCACCCACTCATGAGGCCCGTGGCTCTGTGTCTGATTTATTAAGCATGAGATACGTTTGCAGGAGTCTTCTCCTTCTCCACGAGAAACTTGTTCCTCTGGTGTGACTTCATTCTGGGGGACCTGCATGTGGATAATCATCTTAATTTTGTATGGTTTTCAGCCTCATCATCTCCTAAAACAGAGTGCTTGAACAAGCTGTGTTTTTCTGGTTTTTCTACACAAATTTAACATATTTTTTGGGAAAGCTCTGGCAAGTATGAAGCAGCTGAYACATTCAGGAGGTTCCAGCCACCAGCCCGTTGCAGCCTCAGTGTGGTGGGAGAGGGATCAAGCGCAGGGCTCTGTGTGGGCATTGCCTGGCTGCATACTGACCCCCGTGGTGAATGTGAGATGAGCTGTGGTCTCTCAGCCTCTGTAAATATGCAGTGAGCTCCGAGAAGCACTCTGTGTCTGCCAGTAAGAGCTACTGGTGAGTAAAAACTGCGGTGGGTTTGCTTCCAGCATCAGCAGGACACAGGAGCCGGTGTTGCAGCTTCTTCCTGGAGATGCCCTGGTTGCATGTCACAACCTTGTGGGCTGTGACTCACCCGGGCTGGAGCCACGTCTTGGAAATGTATATCCTCTGTGTTGAAAAGGTCAGAGAGGAATGCTGAACTGGCGCATCCAATGCTGTGCCCGCTGTCTGCGGGCATGGGCATATCCCACAGGGTGGCCAGGGACTCTGGTGGGGTGCTGGGAGCTGAGGTGGCGCTGCTGTGGCAAGGCTGGGTAGTGGTGAGGCTTCTTTGTGGAGCCCAGCAAGTGCTTGGAGCCAGTTGAAGTCGCGGCTGCCAAGGGCTCAGCCCCACAGCGGGGGGAGGAACGGGAGCATCCTCCCTCTCCTCCCGAGGGCTTCGTTTTGTTTGTCCCCCACACTGATGCTAAGCACGCAGTCCCGCCTGCCTTTTTGTCCCGAAGGGGCAAGCAGGGAGGAAGGAGAGTTGTAAAGGTGATGCTAGGACCCTCCCCACCCACCCATCCATCCCTCCGCGCCGTGGGAGGCAGCGCTGGCATCGTCAACCCTGCAGTCTGCCCGGGTTTTGCTTTCCCCCACTCCTCCCCTCTCTTTTCACAAAGGGAAAGGGCAGAGCCTCGCCGGGGCGGTTCGCTGCGGTTTTGATGGGCGCAGCAACTCCCCACCCCCTAACTCCGCGCAGTTTTCGACACTTGAGCGAGAGTAGGGGGAGGCACGGGGTGTTCTGCTCCCTTCCGCCGTGACTCAGGCAAGAGGGGCTTGTTTTGCAGGGCCAGCACCGTGGGCCTCCCCACACTGGAATCTATTTTTAGGAATTTGGGAGAAGTAGGTGCAGCCTTCACAGTAAGAAGTTTCTAGTGCCATTTGTGGTTTCACAGCTTTAGCAAAGCTCAGCATCAGCAGTTTCGAGGCCAGGTGCTCTCTGTGGCTCAACACAGCAAGGCTGTGATCCACATCACCCACATGTGGCACGAAAGCCACGTGCCCTTAGGGGCCCCTCATCCTCTGCACAGTCACTGAGGCTTGTTTCTTTGCTGTTCCCTGCTCTCCATCCACCTCAGTCCCCTGCGGTAAAGCCTGGCTTGGGGGTGCAACTGTGGGTCATACGGAAGGGCAGAGAGGTGAAGGGGTAAGGAGAGAAGGTAGCACAGGCGACAGTGACCCCTGCAGCAAGGTCGTTCAGAGGGACAGCAGCACCCCAGTGCTACTACCCCCTGCTGCTCTTTACCATTGTTCTTTGCTGCTCTGGGGAGTGGCAGAGAAGATGTCTGGAGGGCTGGGTATCCCCTCACATCTGCAGGGAAAGTGCAGTGGAGATGGCACTGTACATCTGATCTGATCTACTTGCTGGGACCACGTGTGTTCACATCTGCTCGTGCTTGGAACTTTTGCTGATCTTCACAGTTGAGGACCATGTTGGCAATGGGGCTGCTGCCTGCCGTTGTCACCATGGTGGTCACCATATTCTCTTCTCTTCAACAGGGGGATGCAACTTTCAAAAGTGTTGACATGTTCGTCGCCCTGAAACTGCTTTTCACTGCTCTGGACTCCAAGAACTTTCTCTTATTTGTACTGAGGCAGATAACAAACAGAAACTGCAACATAACCTTTCCTTCTCCATGTGCTGGCGTTCTGTGTTTTGGCTATGTCTGTTCTCTTTTGCTCTCTGATGACAGGGTTGCTTTGAAGATGTGAAAGCTCAGAGGATACAGGAGAACGAAAAATCTAAAGAAGCGACGAAGCAAATGGTGGAAAAGTTCAAATTTCCCTTCTGCGCCTGGCCCTGTGCTAAAGGTATTTAATTTAGGTTTCTCTCATAGGTTCCTTTCTGCATCCCTCCCACAGTATTGCAGGCAAACCCCTTTTCTGACTCAGAATAAAATCTTTCTTGAGTGTATTGTTCTTAGCACTGCACAACACCCAGCTTCTGTTAATTGTAAAGAGCATATGGGGCAAGCAGCACATTTTAAAAAGTTAGTCAAGAAACCACAGCGAGCATTAAAAAAAAAACGAAAAAATCACTCTCTTCTCAGCAGCTTTCACCTTGCTGCCTTCAGAGATGCTCCCAGCATCTTTGACAGATCACAGGGGCAGGGAACCGGATATTTTCTCAGTAAGCAAGACTCAGAGCCCCAAGTAGAAGTGGAGACAATTTGCTGATCAGCGGAAATACCACAACTAGGGGTTGGTATTGGTTGATCCAATGCAAGCGATGGATCACATTTTCCTATCATGTCACCCAAGGGTTATCTGGCTGGAGGAACTGTGCCAGTTTGGGTTCCCAAGCAGGTGGGCATGGTTACATTCAGAGAGTTTGGTGGGAGGTGAAAGAAAACCCAGTTGGTTTCTTGGTTATGGGCTCGCCACCAGGTGAAGATGTGATTTCATCTCCCCTGGGATTGTCCTATGATGGCAGACTCTTCCTTCTGGTGTTGGGTCCTCTCTTCCTCACCCCTCATCTCTCTGGATCACTCCCCACTTTCCTAAAGACTGTTCCCCACTCTGCTCTGCTCCCTCATGTTCCTACAGCATCCAAACAGTCAGGGATGTGCATCACCCCATCTCTACTATCCATGTGAAGAAATGAGGTGGCAACAGAGCATGTCCTGAGGGGCCAACAACCCCACACACCCTGAAGCAGATCTTTCCTCCTGGGTTGCCTGACTCTGAACAGCAGCGGTGCCAGAACGGCCCACTGGGGCTCTGCCTTCCACAGGACTTGGTCAGTACCTCCTCTCTGATCCAATGCTTCAGGCAGAGCAGCCATGGTGATCCAGCTTGAGCCAGAGAAGCCTCAGGACCAGGTGCTGCAGGGTGCATGGCTCCCAAGGGAGGGCTGCTCCCTGCCAGCCACAGCAACGAGGGACTGGACTGCTGATGTGGAGCAATGGTTTCCTGAAGAGGAGCTGCCGATGACAAAAACACTGCCAGGATCCCCACTGTCATATTTTCCACCTGGTTTCTACTACCAGGATGCTGCCGAAGAGGAACCCAATTTCCTGGCTTGCAGCACAAGCTGGCCAACTCTTTGATCATGTTTTGTGCTGGATACCCAAACTGGAGCCTCTCTCCACCCTCCTCAATAAACCTGTCTGCCCGCCCAAGGCTCCAGCCTCTTCACCAAGGTGCACGCTGTGGGACCAGTGATGTACTTGGGCTTTTCAGCATTTCCTACAGGTGCTTCTCATTTCAATGAAGTAGGTGACTATACAAAAATGGCTTTGAAGAGGTTTTGTCTGCTGCAGAAAGCCAGGGCTCAGGAATAGCTGTGCAAAAACTGCAACACTCAGAGCTGTGGTTTCACACGTCATTGGCTGCCTCTGTCCCAACGCATTCAGGAACCGTATTAAATGACGACTTGTCATGTCATTTTGTTTCTCATGTAGTGACTTACCCCAGATGTATTACATTTAGAGGAAACTCTGAAGAACCCTGGAAAATGCTGGTGAATGTGATGAGGCTAAGGCATGTCATGAGGACTCTGGGGAGCTAGTGCTGCTCCCCACTGTGGTGCCATGGCCCTCAGCTGTCTGGGGTGTTCTTGGGAGTATTCAAATGTCTTTTTGCCTGTGGCAAGCTTGCTATGATAGGGACACTGTGTAGGAGCTTGATGTCACACCAGATGCCTGAGAGGAAGCCAGTTTTGGCCTCTCCAAAGTTCATGACAATTTTAAGAACAAAAGGAATAAAATCAGGCACTTGGCAGTGACCCCAGGCTGTGTGTGGGCTTGGTCCCCTGCAAGCCTAAGGGACAAAGTCCAAAGCCCTGAGATGCTGAGGAGACCCCCAGCTGGTGAGCAGCACCTGCTCAGTAGTCCCCTGCCTCAGCTGTATTGGCTGTGTGCACATCTGATAGGAGCATCTCCTCTAACACACCATTTTCAAAACAATTCTACATGGTGGTCGATGATGCCTTTAAACCAGTGCCCCAGCCCTCTTCAATACAGCCTTGCGGCCTTTCTCCTCTGTACCCCAATGAACCCCCAAATTTATTCTCTTTACATGAGGAAAAAGAGGTCTGTCCCCTGTTGCAAACAATGAGGACCCTTGCTATTTACCATATATTATTTAGCAGTGTCACATGTACTCATGACTGTTGGATGCCTGAAGAGCTGGGGGGCAAGACCTCACCTCCCTGCAGCCAGATCAAGAGGGGTCAGGGTGTAGAGGGGACATGGGTTTCTCAAAGTTGTACAGCAGTGATGCTGGGAGGTCAGAAACTGGCAGGAGTGTCTGGCATTCCCAACAGCTATTTTCGTGCCTGGATACATAGAAACAGGCAACAGGGAAAAGTGAGGCAGGGTCTGAGATGGTTTGTGCCCTTGGGTGCAGCGTGAGCATCTCACTAAGGTACCAAGAAAACTGCTAAAAACTTGTGTCCCCAAACTGATGTCCAAACACGGAGCCCAAAGTCCCACTGTCTGCTGAGGACCAAGGTTACAGTGTCTGTACAGACAGTCTTTTCTCCCAGATGTCTAGCCTGCTCAGGCAGAGGTAACCCATGGGGAGTACAAGGGAAAGCAGAAACCAGCATATCCAACCTTCCTCAGCCAAGCATCTTCACTGCAAAATCATCCTTAAAGAAAACAAAGAGCAAAAAGCTTTTCTTCCCCTTTTGACGAGCAACCAATTTTCTCAGTGCTTCCCAGCCCCTGGCAGCCCACAGTACTGCTGAACAGCTCTGCACCTGGATTCAGTCTTCATTTATTTTAAGACAACTTGCCACAAAACTTTCATCCACAGCAGTAAAAAAACCCACCATGGAATATTTTGGAGTGATTCAAGGGCAAATATGAATATATGAAATAAAAACCTCTCTCTGTTTCTGCAAGAACAGTAGGAAAAAGTATGGAAGTTTAACAGAGAAGAAAGTCTAAGCAAATTTTTGTTGTTGTTGTGGGAGACAGTAGTGAACAAASCTACCCACTGCGAAAAGCTTTTTCCAGGAAGTGTAGGTTGCTATACCCTGTATCCCTTGAGCAGRAGGTGCTCGTGCAGCAGTTTTCATGGTACTTGCAAGCAGTGCATTTGGAAGAGCCCCAGCAACGTGCGTGAAGGATGAATGAACCTTATGGCCCTGAGGCACCCCGTGCCATCAGCAGCACATCTGGCACCATGAAAATATTCATGGGCTTCCTCGCTGTATTTGTTGTAGTGCAGACCATTGGGACTGTGCTGTTCTGTTTGTATCTTCACATGAAGATGGATAAGGTAAGTGGAGAGAGTGAAGACTGTCTCTGTCTCTGCTTGATTGCTGACTTGCTTTGACTTCAGCTTTGGTGAGATCTGCTCAGCAAGAGGGTAAACATGACCGAAGATGGTGTTGACCACTGGATGGAGGCAGCAGTAACGTTTATCACACCTGTGTTCTCATTTCTGCTTTAATTTGCCACAGAGATGTATACAAGAGGAGAGATCTGTTCCCTTTGCTAGCAAGAAGAGAATGGTCAATTGAGAAGAGACATTAAGAATAAACCTGGTAGCTGATGGCCAGTCTGAGGACAAGAGGGTGTGGTTTAGACACTCAAGTGGCTATTTTAGGCTTGGTGGTGGTTTTTCTGATTTCATAGCATTTAGTAGCACTCTGACACTAACTGAGAGGATAAAAGGTCTAGAAATGATAATTTTTTTCAGTGTTTCAGTGACTGGAAAAGCAATCTTGAGCAAGAGGGTCTTTAATGTTAGAGAGTTGGAAGGGGGTCTTTGCTGCATGGAGGTTGCAGCATGAGGTTAAAGAGTGAATAGACATTTCTTTCCCAGCAGAGGGAAATGTGACTGCAGGGGCCATGGCAGAGGATCGGAGGCAGCTGAAATGCAGTCACAGGTGGCACTAGAATTTCAGTTGCTTTCAGAGCTTGTGGCAGGGCTTCAAACCTGACCCTCCGCATCCTAGTGCTGCCTGTGCTGAGAGCTCTGCTGGGCTGTGTCCCCTCATGTCATGGCTGCGCTTTCTTTCTACCATTTAACTGAATGTTTTGTTTTTACAATGAAAAAAAGAATGAAAAAACAAAGGGGTATAAATTTAAAAATCAGTATTTGGATGCATTTAATTACATTCTTAATGGCTTTCTGATTTTTTTTTTTTTTTGTATTCTGAAGCTCTTGACACAATTCAGCCCCCTCCCACACGTCATTTTGTTTTCGTGGCAGCACTTTCAGTCAATAACCGAGCACAAGAATTTAAAGCCCCTCTTTGTGGGCAGGACAGTGAGGGACTGAGTGAACATCGCAGGTCCCTGTTGGGACCATTCGGAAAGGAGCTGCAAACCCTGAGACCCTGAGCCACCCACTGGGATTTCTGTGCCTTTAGGAAAAGTCAGAGAAGGACTTTTAAATTAATTATCAAGGTGATAGTAAATATATCCTGAGCAATCCTCCTCTCAGCTAATGTTGTCAGTCAGGATGAGTTCCATGGGTTCAATTCCCAGTGGATGAGGGCACAGATGCTGTGCTGTGTGCCTGGTGGGAGCTCTTGCTACCCACAAGTTGTCTCCCCAGCTCATCCCTGAGCTTCTCAGGCAGGATTTATTGCTGGCAAGAATGCAGCATGGCTCTGCCGCCTGCTGTTGCAAGGTTCCTACTAACATCCCATTCACCCTCCCTTCTCTCCTCTGTGGGCAGATGGAAGAGGTGCTGAGCTTAAATGAAGATTATATCTTCCTGAAGAAAGTACAGAAATGTCAGACAGCAGAAGGTCACAAGTCRACATTATTGGACTGCGAAAAGGTATTAAAGGGCTTCCAGAACATCCAGTGTGAGGTATGTGCTGTCGGGTGCATGAAGATGCCACTAATGTGGAAGAGGGGCTCCCAGGCACACAGACCTTCACCCCAAGTTTTTTTTTAAAACCATGGCTGCCCTTTACTTTAGGGCTGTGTAACACGTGCTATTTTTAATACCATATTCTTTTTACACTATATTGATATAATTGAAAAATCTTGTCCATTTTTTTTTCCTAAATTGCTGATGATCAGAGCACATCCGGCTGCAACATGTATGTTTGGGGTTTGTTGTGGGCAAGATGGAACTGCAGCCACCTTGGCCCTGCTCCCTGATCTTGATCTGAAAAGTGTTGATTTTCTGCTGTCTGGCACCTTGCTCCAGTCCTGTGCTGGGTGGCTGTGAGTGTGCTCGTGACACTTTTCTATACAGTTTACCCAGGTGTCAATGACAGTGCAAAGCTTTGGCCAGGAAACAGTGCTCCTGGCAACCAGGGAGGAGGAGCATGAGCGTACTGCGCAAATGCTGCTCCATGGACTCAGGGATGGCATCTCCAGTGGGAGCAGTGGCTTCTCACATTTGAGTGCAGAAGAGCCAATTCGCATTGGAACATCTTCCTGGTGTGACTGATCCCAAACAGGGATGAGTGGCTCTCATCCTGCTCAGCCCTGAATTAATTGTTTAGGAGTGGCTGTGCTGGCCAGAGTAGACATGRGAGCAACATTTCTTCCTCATTGGCACTGCTTGATGACAACAAATGCCTCAGCTAAACCTGCTTCAGCTAAACCTTCAGGTTTGCAACAGTAGCCAACGGACCACCAAATATTATGAGGTAGGCCTGGCTCAGAAGTCCTGAAAACCTCCACTGCAGGACAGGGATGTGGGTCGGCAGCGCTTGCAGCGTGGCTCTCCCATAGGAAGAGGAGATTTTTTTTTTTTTTTGTTTATCGTATTTTTTTCAATAAATTTACCCTTCACATAATTTTTTATTGAATAAAACCTAAAATCATAAACCCCACAAATTCTGTGCTACAAACAGCCCATGGTCACGTGTGAGGCTTGGTAAGGGGCTGGAGGAGCTTGCTGGTTTCAGGTACCCTCTGTCAAGAGCTGACAGTGCTGTTGGAGACAAATATCACCAACCCCAGCAGTGACCAGAGCATCTTTTATATAGAAGCTTTCAAAATCATTGATTTTGAAAAACACCCTGGATATTTTTGCTATTGTTACAGGATGGAGCCCTAAAGGAGCAGCCCAAGTTTGAAATGCAGAGAGGTGAGTTTCCTGATGTAATCAGTGCACACTCATGGCTCGCTTGGGCAGGAGGAGTTCCTTGGCCTGGGAAGAAGCTTCCTTCAACAGACCGTGATTGTCTCAGGGCATGGCATGGAGGCAGGGGATGGATTGGGGCTTGAAGCATCCCCATGGGGGTAGGACTGTGCTGGGTGTGGGCTGGCAGAGGGGGACACTTAGCATGGCTCTCTCCCCAGGGCAGGCAGTTCTGGGTGCCCCAATGTCTCAAGTCATTGAAATCAAACCAAAATTAAATCTGTGGCCTTTTTGCACCTCAGGTCCTGAGCACCATGAGCACCCCAGTTTGCTGCACAAGAATGAGACGTCTGTGGCAGGTGAGGTGTGGACACATCCAAGTCCTGTTCCAACAGCGAATAAGGTGGCCTCCATCAGAGGTTTCACCTCAGAGGAACCCTCAGGTCTTTGCTGAGTAGAGGCAATGTCCTGCCTCACTCGGGGCTGGGGGTGGAATTGGGAGATGGTGTCTTGGCCTGTAGAGAAACATCAAGGGCAGGAGTTGCGGCAGTCCCTGCAGAGGAACGCTGAGGGGACAGTGGGTGCCAAGGCATCATTACCACTGTCCTTTCTAAATTGCAGCAGAGAAGAGGCAGCCGATCGCAGTCCACCTGGCAGGTCAGCAGAGCAACAAGGCAGGCTCAGGTAAGGCAGACTCACTCGGTCCAGTCTCGACCAGGGAGTCAGAGAGACACAGTAGTGTGCATTCCCAATCCTGCCCTGTGGCTCTCTGAGGGCAGGAGCAGGGACTGAATAATGCCAACATGAAAATGTGTCCCCAAAACACAGCAAACCTCCCGGTGGCCACATGCTCACATGCACCTGTGCCGCAAGGGGTTCACACATCCCCACTGTCCTCAGTAGCCCTGTATGTGCCTTCGTAGAAATGCACCACAGTGCCTTAATCTTTCCAGTGTTTTTTTTTATCTTTGTATTTAAAGAAAACAAGGTCCCACTTTTGTTCTTAAAATGGAACATTTTGCTCTCCTGGCCATGTCTTGCTGTGATGGCTGCTGCAGGATGGCTCTGCTCACATTTGCTTCTGTTGATTTAATCCTCTTCTCACCCATAGTGATCCTGACAGCGATATGGGCTGGCTGAGAGCTTTACCGCCAATAGCAACATAGGTGGCTCCAAATTTAGTCCACTTGCAACTATTCACAGCTATGGCCACATTAAGTTTGAGAGATATACCTGAGTCCTTTTGCATTTGTGCATCCCTCAGTATCGACTGGCTTCTCTTGCTGCTCTGTCCCCCAGCATAACCTTAGCTGAAGGACATCCCACAAGAGCAAGGATTACTGAAGTGAGTATGAGCTTGCAAGGTCTGTCACTCCATCTGGCAAGGATTTCACAATCTGAGCACTTCTGATTTTATTCTGGAGTAACTGACAGTAACCGGCAACTGCTCTTACCATCTCTGACGCAGCACTTCACCCAGAGCTCAGTCTACCTGTGGAAAGCTTAGTGTTAGATAAGATCAAAGAAGTGTGAAACAAGTTGCATTTTAAAAACTCTCTGCTCAAGCACTTGTTGAACGTATAAAGCAGGATCCACAGAGCAGCAGATGCCTGGGACTCAGCCCTCTGTAGCAAAATGTCCCTGTGGGATGCTTGGTCGGGGCCCATGGGCTGTGTGGCTCCCATGGKAGGAGGACCACCCATGGCACAGTGTTTCTGGGCTGGGGCGGTCAAACCCATTATTCCCCATGGATCCAGGTTGCTCCCTGTGGCTACCCTTGCAGATGTTTCTGTAGACTGGGAAAAGCAGAGGTCCACATTCCAGAGGTCATAGCTGAGCTCAGCCCCTACAGCCATGGTTTCCAGGTCTCTGAATTAGCTTATGTGCACCAACTCTGTGAGCTACTCCGATGACACCAAAAGTGTCCCAAAATCCACGGCAGCACCTGAACTGTGTGGCCCATGGTCCTGGCAGTGGGAAGCAGCACTCAGAGTACAAAGCCCTTGCTGCCTTGCACCCAGGCGGGGATAGCAATTGTGGGATGTTTATTTTTGTGCTTTGCTTCCTTGGTAAAGTATCACCATCTCCAGAGGCCAAGTGGTGGAAGGACCGTGGAGGAAAGGCAGCCCCCAGCTGGGAAAAAACTGGGATGGGAGGCTCTGAAAAGCCGAGTTGCAGCATATTTTGGTAGTGGTCTGAGGACCTGGAGGGTGTCCCACTAAAATCCACGGAGCCAGCAAATGGAAGTAACACAGTGTTTGGCCTGCTGCGGTAAACGCAGGCAATCTTCCTCCCTGAACATTTCCACTGGGCTGGATGAGGGAAGCTAAATGCTCCTCCACTCACATATCAATTCAAGGGTGACCAAGCCAGTGACAGTGGGTTAAACCTGCCTTGGCCTTGGGAAAGGGCTCCCTGTTCCTACAGGGTGGGGATGGTATCCTGGGCTCCATACCCTGCCACCTGCACCCCACAGACAGACAGAGGCTGTGAGACTAGATGTCTGTAGGGTGATCCCCCAAATCAGCCTGCCAAACTGGAATTCTTCTCCCAGCTCACCTGCCCTGCTCTCTCCCTACAGTGCTGGAGTGGAAGGAGACGATGTATGGCCCCACAAACAGCTTGATATCCAACAAGGAGGGGAAACTGAAGGTGGAGGAAGCAGGGCTCTACTACATCTACTCCCAAGTCAGCTTCTGCACCAAGGAAGTGTCTTTGGCACCCTTCACCCTCTATATTTATTTGCATATTCCCAAGGAAGAGGACCGGCTCTTGCTGAAGGGACAAAAGACACCGAGCACCTTGAAGTCCCTCTGTGAACTCCAGTCCATCCGGGTGGGAGGTGTCTTCAGCCTTCGGGAAGGTGACATGGTCTTTGTCAATGTGACAGACTCCACAAAAGTGAAATACAGCCATGGCAACACCTACTTTGGCATCTTCAAGCTGTAGTGAGAAAAGGACTGTCTTGAGCTGAGAATCCAACCAAACTTTCTGGAGCAAAGTGCCTTTCCCTGTTTACCTTATTTATGTTCCTCTGCCTCTCTGTTTTTCTTCTTTCTTAATTTGTATATTTTGTTATTTATTAATGAGGCCCAAGGGTTCTTGAGAACAAAAATGAAACAAAATTTGAAGCTGTTTTGCTTCAAAAATTTGCTCTCAGATTTTTTTCTTACACAGCTAGTGATTAGGTACATGCTGGTGTTATGTGTCCGGGTCTACCATATCCCCCATTCCTGGCAGGGTCAATGTCCCTGTTATGTCACAAGAGCCTTGTTTACCAAACTCTACCATGAACATTTCTTTCCTAGAAATGTAGGATGGCTCAGAGTACTTCAGTCAAGCTAGGGTTCGTTCGCATCTCCAGCACCAATCTGCTTACAGACAACATCAATGGAAAAACATAAAAAGGCTTAGGAACATCTCTAAAGGAATCAGGAAGCCCAGCACTGCCTTTACACGGCAGCTGTTGGTGAGGCAATGTTGCCACTGCAACTGTCTGCTGTATGCAGAGAAACCCCTTTTTTCCATCCACRTCTGTCTGTGAAACTCAACCAGCTTCTTCAGGGTGGCACTGCCTTGGCTGAGTTCATACTTGGTGACAATCACCCCGCACCAGAGGGTTGATTGGTGGCTGAGGGAGGACTGCCGATTTCAAGACAGAGAAAGGGTAGGACACCAGTGGTGGTCTGCTCTTGATGACCTGAATSTGCTCACCAGACTGTCCTCCTGCCTCTGCAGGCAAGAGGAACTTTGTCCGTGCACAGTTTCACTCCCCTGTGGAAGGGGCGCTGGGTACCGCCATCAAAATTGGGCCTGCATCTTCTCCAGAGACCCCATCTTACCCAAGGAGGACCAAGAAAGCATGGGAGTGGTAGGACTACCTGTATTTTCCCTCCAGGACACATGCGTAGAGTTTCTTCTGACTGACGTCAGTGAAGATGGGTCCACAGTGGCACTTTACCTGGAGCTCCGGGACCGCAGGATGGTGCAGATGGGCAGAAGCCCTCTTGGGCAGGGGGTACCTGGGTGACACTGCACACAGGGTCTTCCCAGCCCTGTTCTCCAGCTTGGCCTGCAGGGAAGGTGAACAGAGCACGAGGATGCTGATACAACATWTTTTTAAAGCATTTAGATGACACAAGTGACAAGCCTGGGGTTTTTGGTTACACAGGTCACAATTGTCAGAGTGCCAAAGTTTAGAAATAATTTTCGAAGCCAACAAGTTTGCAAATGGAAGTGCTTCCAGATTTGGATAGTCTTTAGGCTTTGTTGTGCTGGAGGCTGTAGGTCTGGTCCTAACACAGTGCCTGAATGTCATCACTGGTGGGACAGAAGGGACAGTCTTTGTTACAGGCCATTGCAGTGCTAGGTGCCCACCACAGTCCCCTCCAAAGTCAGCAGAGCTTAGAGTCTGGTTCCACTATAATTTAATAATTATTTTCTGGTTGTTCTCCAAAACTGTCCAACTTTTTCAGAGGATGGACCATTTCTGTCTGTCATCTTGTATAAAGACTATTTACCCAAACCCATCTTATATTTTTAAYCAGAGAGATGTGTGCCAGAAGACTGTGCAAGGCTGTAGCTGTATTTTGCAGCATATGTTAATGTTTGCGGTTTCCCCTTCCACAGTATGGGGTTTCTTCCTCTGATCACTCCACAGTTAATACAATTTATCAATTAAGACACAGTGGCTCTGTATGTTTTGAACACCACTCACTCTTGCCAGCCCCAGATTGAGATTTCACAGGATTCTGCTTGGGGTCTGAGAGGGCAGTGAGATGGCACTGGGAGTCTGTGGGACAGCCCATCCCAGAAACTTCCAGAGGCAGCCATTCCACTGTGCTCCTTGAGATGTGTTGGGGTTCCAGGGTCAGGCCAGCATTGAGGACATTTTGGCAGGAGAAAGAAGCAGGGAGCCCCTGCCATGGGAGGGCAGTGACACACTGGGACTGAAGTCCCCTGGAACAACTGTGGAGCCGAGGGGTGGGGATTTAGGACACCTGACTGAAAGAGTATTATTCCTGTCTGTCGTAAGGTCATGGAGCCTGCAGTGATGTTTCTGCTTTGGAGCAGAGGGATGGATGCTGCTCATGCAGTTTGTGGGGCTGGGCAGCTGCTCCGTCCCATTGTCCCCTGTGGTGGTGTGGGTCCAACCACATCCCTGCTGCTGCTGAAACACAGCCAGCCCTGTGGACCAGATTTCTTGAGGCAGTGCTGGCCCGCCTGAAGAGCTATAAACCTCCACAGGGGAGGCGGAGGTATTCGGTCACAGTGGGAGTGTGGGTGGAAGCCACAGGAGAAACCAAAGACGGTGCAAACTGGCATTGTCTGAGATGGGGGAAGAAGCTGGGGGCAAGTGGATGGGGAGGAGCGAGCTGTGAGGAGCGTGTGTGCAGCCGAAAACTTCCAGGAGTGGAAAAACTGCTCATCATGGGCAAGGAGCAACAGTCATAAGGGCACACTTCGGAGCCCCCTGTAGCCGCCAGTCTCAGTGGCCAGGAGGACCTGCAGGAGACCTTGGACTGGGCTGTGACCCCCAGCCCAAATCACTGAGCAGGGGTCCAGGAGCTGTAAATTGCATGGTTGGGAAAAACAATGAAAGATAAGAAAAATAGTCATAAAACAGGTCCATACATTCTGCAGCAAGGGCAGCAGATGCCAACTGTCACCTCCCCTGCCCATGGGCTGCTTGACCAACCCTGTTCCCTGCCTACACTGCTGCCTTTTTCAGGGCTTTTGTTTCTTGCCTCTATTTCTTCACTTGCCAAAAATAGCCCGTGGGATTCAGAGGAGAGGTGGTGTGTGGGAGGGGATAAGATACAGTTGCTGCCATCCAGCTGCAGCCTTCTTCCTCAACCCTGCCTGTTGCTGGCACAGTTTCCTCTCCCCATGGAAAGTTTAAAGGTCATCAATACACTGATTTTCCCTTGACGTGAGGCCCCTATGCCAGTCCTCAGGCTGTGGATTTTATGGTTTCCAAACTGATTTTTGTTCTTTCTGAGTTAAGAAGGGGTTGAGAAGGTGATGAGTTTGTGGAACATATCAGCAGAAGTGGCACAGGGGGTCATGGATGAGCAGTGGCAGGAGCAAGCAGCAGCACAGTCATCTGCTGGGAGAGGTGTTTGCAAGGTTCAAGACACACTAAGCTCACTGAAAAAAAAAAACCTCAACCATATGTATGCATACATATATATATTTGTAGAGATATGAGTGTGTGTGTGTGTGTGTGTGTGTGTGTGTATATATGTATAAGTATATATATATATATATGTATATATACACTCTTCCAGGGATGGAGCAGTCGCAGCTTCCCTGGGCAACCTGTKCCAGGGCCTCACCACTCTCACAGGGAAGAGTTTTTCCCCAATATCCATTTAAACCTACTCTCTGGCAGTTTAGGACTTCAGTGTTTTTCCATGAGCACCCATGGCCAGTGTTTCTTTTTTCTCTTTTATTTTTCCTGCTCTGAGTGCTGTGCTTGGGGAGAGAGAGCACGGTCCGGCCCTCCTGCCCTCAATCCTCCACATCTGCTGTGGGCTGAGACTGTAGTATGTCTCTAACAAAGAGGTAAAAAAAACCCCAGCCTGCAGGAGAGGTCTTGTCCGTCCAAGTGATAGACCAGAGGAAATCCTGTCACCACACCTAATTGCCAGAAAAAAAACCACACACTAACTAAAAAAAAAAAAATCTCAAACAGGCAGGAAGTTACTTTTATCTACAGTAACTGCCTGGTGCAGCACTGCAGCCTGCTCTCCATACAGCATCCCTGTGAACAGAGTGTGTGTGGGACTCGAGGGATGGAAATGTATCGCCTGCCCTGGGATCAGGAGCTCTTGGCCTGCAACAGCTCAAGCACCAGCACCACCATTCACAGGAGTATTCCCACCAGTCAATTAGAGAGGGATTATGCTGCCACAGCATTTTGAGCAAATCAGTAATGCCCACAGCAAGCACTGGCTTCGCTTTCATGGCAGAAAAAAAAAGGAAGCAGCACCAAGGACTAAGAAGTGACTTTTATCCTTCTTTATTTGTTGAAAATGTCAATTAAAAAACTGTTCAAAATAAAAACATGTTAGAAAAGTTGAGCTTGCATAAGTAGTTACAGTAAATAAACCTACATGACAAAGATAAACTGGAAGGCAGCTGATACAACATCCATCTAAAGACAGACTCACTGGAACCTATTTACAAAGCACTGTAAACAAAGTAAGTATGGAAACATTGCTGTCCATCTGGCATGGCTTCTTTTCCTTTTTATTTTATTTTCTTGTCTTTTTTTGGCTTCTAGCTCTTAACAAATGCTTGATCCAAAAAGTCCCAGTGTGCCCTCCATCACATTACATCTCACAAACATGCATATGTACACAGCACGGGTTTCAACAGAGCCTGGGGGAAGCGAGGACACATTTCTACCCCCTTCCTGGAGCGTCCCTGGCCCTTGCTTTGCTCGGCATGTCACCAGCCTGGTCCCCAGCCCAGCTTTGGGCAGGCAGCAGGGCTGGGCAGTRCCAAGGGGTCTGGGCATGGACTCCCAGCGCAGCAGAGTGTGCAGCAAAGGTCCTGCTCCTGGAAAATAATTCACAAGCACAGCAGGGCCCAGCTGACCAAACCACCCAGCTGTGACTGGGCAGGGGTGTGGGGGGCTGCCATCCAGCTGAGATGCTCTGGGGAGGGTAAATGTAGTCAGAACTCTGTTTTGCCCTAGAAATAACTTCAAGATGGTTTCTTATTACACACCTTGAGTCTACATTTCCCTAAACACCATTTTCTATATACTGGATAAATTTTAATGGCAAGGAGGGATTTGTGATTATTGCCTCTCTTATGGCCTTCATGGCCAATGTAATGATGTGACTGTAATGAGTTGTGGTGCTCCTGCACACCCTGGGATCATGCTGCCCTGTGAGATAAATAATATTTATCATTTACTTTAACAGAAAGGGTTTTTTATAATGTTGTTAAGGAAGGAAGGAAAACATCAGTTCTAAACTAGGCTATAACACCAAATAAGATAAGGAGAGCTGATACATATGCATGTTGCCTGTGTGCTGTGTTTGAGGAGCTGTGCAGGGATCTGCTAGGATGTTGCATATCCTTGCCCCAGGAGTGCTTCACCTCTTGTCAAAGCATAAATACCTTCCCTATCCCAAGAGAAAGTTCCTTTACCCTAGCAGAAAGCACATTTGGGGTAAAGTGGGGAGAAGTTGCTGCTGGCTACATTCCCAGCCTTTGGGAATGAGAGCCTACCACGGGCAGATGGGAGCAGGGGACCAGCACATTTGGGGTTGTTTTTTGTTGTCAAGCAGTGTTTACATTTCATACAGAGAAAAGCATGTCCTGCAAGAGGAAACACAGCAAAACTATAATCTCCTAAGATACCTTTCACGATGTGAAAATAAAGCAGGGGGTAGGAATTCTACATCATGCATAAAAAACGGCATGGGGGGCAGAACAGCCCCCCCCATGATTGTGYTAATCATGAGTTGTAAGGAGGCAGCACTGTGCAAAATACCTTCCCATACTCTCTGACAGGTGCTCCAGATCTGGCTTCCCCAAGGAGTTCAAATGTATTCATGCTAATTGCACATTTTAATCAGTATCAAGGCCACACAGGAACCACAGTATCGCTGGGCTCTAGTTCGCTACAGTCAACTAATGGGGAAAAAGAAGGTGGATGGGAAAAGCTTCCCCAGTTGTGATTTTCTAAAAAGAGGAGCATAACGTTTTTTTTGGTTTCTGCTCAATGCCACCTCAATAATGTTTTCATTCAATAAATAGGTGCCAGTGCTTTTGGGAAGAATGAAAGCATTAAAAAGTGCTTAAGCTTCTTCTAGGAAACTGCTGCTCAAACCTGCAGCAATCACTTAGCAGAGTTTGTGTTTGCTCCTAGTAGCAGGTACGATGAGGTATTAGTTGCTGCAGATGAATTGTGAATCATGGACCGCTTGTTTATTGGTGCAGTTGTGATTGATTGTTTCTGCTTTACTTCCTTATTGGATGGAAGAAAAACTATTATTTTTCTCTTTTTTTTTTCTTTTTTTTTTTTGGTAAGAAAGTTCCCCAAACCAACAAAATAAGGAGCAAGAAGAGGCAAAGGATCAAGTTCCACTCCCCAAAAAAACACCTGAGGTCACACACCACTGCCAGCAGATTATCCATGAATTCAGGCAATCAGAGACGACTTGCGCCCTGTGTCCTCCCTGCCACACTCGTCCGTCTGCTTCAGCAGCCTTCTCACCAGCTTCTCCAAGTCCTTCCTAGATTTAAGTTCTTCTTCCAAACACTGCTTCATCCTTTTGTTTTCCTGCAAGGTGAAAAGTAAAGGAATAAAGAGGCCGTTAATGTGCATGCACTTTATGCAGTGAGATACTCCCATGCATGTGATGCCATGTGCGCATCGCCTCAGAAGTGATGAAATATCAGGGACATTTGATAAGTGCCAGTGAAGATGAATGCACGTAAGTGGATCAGACCACAAGTAATCCAAACAGAACCTTACTACCTCACAGACCTGCACATAAGTTCCCCGACTGAGCAAGCAGAAACGTCCTCCTGGAAACCTAATTTTAGCTTGGGTTGAAGGACCCTGTTCTCCTGGGACGGTTTCTCCCACCTCCAGACTTGGGACTGAAGGGAAGAGGACATATTTCCTCTGAGTCTACAAGAGCTAATGTCCATCAGAACACTACAAAATGAACAGACAAGTTAGAAGAGCTCTTGGAATAGGGGGAAAGTTTCATGTTACCACAAAGACCAACTACTCCTTTCCTCTTGCTGGCTCTGGCACTCAGGCATGAAGGATGAGAGGAAGTTATTTCCAACTGGGCCAGGGAAGGTTTATATTGGAAATCAGGAAAAATTTCTTCATGGAAAGGGTTGTGAAACACTGGAACAGTCTGCCCAGGGAAGTGGTGGAGTCATCATCCCTGGGAGTGTTCATAGAATGTGTGGGAATGGCACTTCAGAACATGTTTTAGTAGTGAATATGATGGTTGCGCTGGGTTGACAGTTGGACTCCATGATCTCAGAGGTCTTTTCAAAACTTCAAGATTCTATGATTCTGTGATTCAGGGAAGTAAACCAGAAGAAAACTACTGCTCATCCAGGAATTTGCAGGATTGGACCAGCATCAGCAAGACTTTTCCTGGGCAATGACCAGCTGAAGATGATGCAACACAGGCTGGTTGGCTTTCACTCAACTGCCAGCACAAACCCAACCAAATTACCTGCTTCAGTTCTTTGACTTCATCTTTCAGTGCATAAACTGTGTCAACAAGACTCCTAAAAAGAGAAATTAAAAAAAAAAATTAAAAGGACTAAGAAGTGTTGGTGTGCAGGAAAACAGCATGGGAGGTGCTGACAGGAAAGTGGCATCCAGACTCTGCTTCCCAAGCATCAGGCTGTTGTCTGTGAGGGGACTCTGGAAACACAGCCCAGGAGCATTCATAGGCCACTGGTCCAAAACCCAGGGCTGTTTTATCAAACCTCAACACCTGTCCTGCTTTAAGCTATCGCAAAAGTCTGTGGCTTTGGCTTCCTCGTTTCTGCTGTGGCAATAAATAACAATGACTTTAAAGGTGAAAATGCCTGAATATCTTTTGTGAGGCAGCCTTGATTCCTTGAGGTTGTGCTGCAAAAAATCAAACATGAAAGGAATGCACTGATTGGGTTGAAAAGGGAGAGGTTCAGCACATCACACATCCAGATGAGGAAGTTACAGAACAGGCTGGGAGCATTCACAGGCAGGTGCCAGACAGGCTCCTGTGGGCAGCAGCAGCCAGTACATCAGTAGTTAAAAAAATAAGAGCCACTTGTTTGGTTCTGTCCTTGCTGACCCCATTAGCTACATCTGGATAAGGCATAAACTGGGGATCCAGACTCCCAGAGGGATACAGTCATGTCAGGGCAACAGGAAAGGCGGCTTTGTCCTTAATAGGAACAAAATAGCAGCTGAAATCATCTGGTGGCTATTTGCCAGAAACTAAGGCAGCAGTCAGTGACACCAGCCCCACTCCTCTGTGGGGACACAGCAGGAGAGGGCATTGGTTTTCAACTCCCTTCCAAAAAGTAACACAGGGGTCTATCTGGAAGTGGAGAGCAGCCACACTTACTTTTCCTCTGTGACCAACTGGCCATTGCTTCGCGTTTCCTCTATGATGATTTTCTCTTCCTCAGGAAGAAGGACTTGGGGGATGGAGTCTTTACGGGAGCCTGGGTACAAGAATTATTCATCAGGGGGAAAAAAGGGGCAATCTTTCCTGGTGCCCATGCTACTCCAGAGACAGAAGTTCTCACTCTTCCCGCTCCACCAWCAGCCTGGGGCTGTCTAGGGATGTCGGCTACGTCCCACTAACCCAGAGCAAAAGCAGCAAGTGGAAAATTTTCAAGAGCACTCATTGCATCTATAGTTACATCATGACTTATAAATGAAACCATTCAAATAGGGTCAAGAGCTCCCTGAAGAACCATGAGCTCCCTTTTTTTTCTATGTACCATTATTTGATAGTTCAGTGATTTCATTTGACATCTCACTAGCAATGATAAATAGTTATATTTCCAGACCTGAAGATCTTAGATAGGTTCTTATGAGGCAGGTTGCTCCTAAACACACAGCTGATTGAGAGATAATATTCACACTTCCTTTCTAAAGCTACAAGCAACCTGAGATTACCATCAGGTAATCACTGGTGAAATAGAAGTGTCTCATCTGCCCTCCTACCTGCTTCGCTCTGTGTTTAGAAGAAAAACAATGGCAACTAAACCACTAGGCAGATGAAGCTACCTTATCTYGAAGATTGAACACCCCACAGTTTCCCAGCATGAGTCTTGGCGCTGTATGATGCAACATCTGGTTTTTTTCCCAGAGGGGTTATCAGTGTTATGGGCAGAGTATGAGCTAAATAATGTGCTTGTGTGCCCACCTGAGCTGAGAGCTTGCTGGAAGCCTGCCCCAGTACAGTATGCCTCGATCACCTTCAGGATCTGAGCATCCTCCTCCAGCGCAGCAGTACCTATAAGACATTGCAAACAATAGCTGCCACAAAAGCAAGGTACTCTGGTCTTGTCTCAATCAGTCTTTGCTCACAGGCCCCTTAAGAGACCGTGTTGTTTCTTTGGCTGACTGTCAGTGGGACTTTATCCAATCCCTTTCGAGGTCCTTTTCATTTTCTGGCATTTGTGGCATTGAGCACCATAACCAAACGGTGTGAAAGCTCAACTTGGCAAAACTCAGGGGGGGATGCCTTACTTTGGGTGCAGGCAGCACCAGGAGATGTGCAGGAAAAACAGCCCTTGTGTGGGGGGTCTGGTACCAGAGCAACACTTGGAAACATGAAGTGTTTATTTCCAGCCTCTGCTCAATGTCATCTTCTCAAGGGAGTGAGTTAACCATGGAGCTGTGCACAGCAGCTTGACCGTGGCCTTTTGAGTAAAGCCTCTGAGGAGTGTGCCAAGAGGGCTTTAGGGAGCTGTCAGGATACCCCTCTTTGCAGGTGAACACCCCTGCTGGGATGGGGACCTTTTTGTTTCCTAATTCCCCATGGAAACTGTCCTAGGACTTGCTGGGCATGGCCAGGTAAGGGTTTTTCCCAGCTGTCAGACATATTTTGGTGACCGTTGAAGTGCAGTTTAATGCAGTTTTTAACTACTTGGAAATAGTTCCTTGGCTTCATACCCAGAATAAGACCACCCACAACCCACGACCGTGAACTAGCAATCTTGAGGAGGGTGGTGGTATGTCTGGCAGTCATAACTGGGATGGGAGGAGGGATCTGAGAGAGGCTAAGGACCGGTGCACTTCCAGAAGCCTCCCATGCTCAGGAGCACACAGGCTCACAGTGGGAGCATCCTGTCACATCCTGCACTGCAAGAAAGGGCATTCTCATAGTCCCATGAAGATCACTGAGAATGCAGAAATCTCCAGAAATGAAAGAAAAATAGAATCACAGAATGGTTAAGGTTGGAAAGGACTTTATAGATCATCTAGTCCCAATCTCTGCCATGGGCAGGGACACCTTCCACTATCCCAGGTTGTTCCACGCCCTGTCCAACCTGGCCTTGGACACTCCCAGGGATGGGGCAGCCAAAGCTTCTCTGGACAACACTTACTTTTCCGAATAACAAACTCTTCATCGGATGGTTTTCTCTCAGTTTTCCTTTTTGGAAGAAACTTCTTCATTGTTTTTGGACTTTTGCTGGAATCCTGCAGAGAAACAGACTCTTGTGTTTAGCCAGAAACAAAGGCAGCTGGGAGCGGGGAKCAACACATGGTGTTGCTTGGTGCAGCTACCCATGCTACACACAGCACATTAAAGAACTAGAAAGCAGACAATGACAAACGTGGGGAAAATTATGTGTTTTGCMCTTCACATGTGCCGGTTGTGGCCCACTGCTCCCTGGAACGGCAGTGGAAATTCCACCTGCAGCTTTGGGCCAGGACAGGATCCTCTAGTAAATTCAACTCTTCTCTAAAATCCTTTAGCCAAAGAATTCAAATACATTCATAGCATTTTAGTCTGCTTACAAACTCTGTGATCTGTGCTAGAAAACCCGAAAATGTGGTTTATTCCATTGACTTGATTTCTAATATGAAAGAGTTGGCAAATATCTCTGCTTCTAAATGCCGACAATTTGAGAGTATAAATCACACACACACATATACACACAAAACAGACAAACACACACAAAGTTAGTGTTTGCTATGACTCAATGAGTAAGGAACACAAGCTTTTATCTCCTTCATGCAGTTGCAAGTCTTGCTGATTTGGAGAGAATTAGTGTATTAGTAGGTTAAATGCAACAAGGATTTAAAGCAGGAGAAAAGGCATGCCAGGAGGTTTTAGGTGACATAATACTAAATCCTTTCTGAGAGTAATCTCAAAGTATATTTGCCAATTGCTGCTGACTCTCATAATAACTTACTGATATGGAGAGGCAAAATTAGGGTCAAGCAAGCACAAAAAGCATGAATAGGAACAAGCATTCTGTGCCATGACAATCCGAAGAGATGTATCTACCCTTACCTTTAAGATATAAGACATCCTCTACAATGAATATGCAAAGAAAGAGAAGATGGGTGTGAGAGACTGATGATTTTTATCAACCGAGTCCATTAAACCCATAATTTTGAAATACATTTCAAAGTTAGTCCTGTGATTAATGCAGCACATCCTCCATACTGGTTTTAAAACACTATCAACATGCAAAGGAGCACCATGTCATGCAAAATTGAAAATTTACATGTGAGATGCAGGGTGAGTGGGCATTAATACACTCTAAACACACAGACAACATGCCTCCTCAGTTAGTAAGTGGGTGTCTGTGGATGCTGGTTGCCTCAATGGGTGCTTGCAACTGCAGGAGCCCCATATGCCTGGCTCCATCCAAGCCCTGGGGAGCACTTGGGCTCTGTGCACAACACTGGTCCTGAGGGCCACAACCCAGCCCAGTCAGGATGCTACGACACCCTGCCCACCCTCGTGACAATTTCCCAGGGCTCCATCTTCTCAAAGGGGACCTGTCATCCTTGCTGCTGACCATGTCACGCATCAGTGCTGCAACACCTCCCTGCTCCACTGGCAGGGTCCAGGAGCTCACGACACACCCTGTGGAGGGTCCCATCCTTGGATCCCATCTCTAGGATGCTTAATAAAGGAGCCACTTGGCTCTCCTGCAGGTCTGCCCAGCAAAATCCTGAACTCTGATGTTATAAACCTTTTCCCCTAATGCAAAGAAGCCAGTTTAAAAAAAAAAAAAAAAAGAAGTACTAGAAGAAATGATCTGTAAACCTTTTCCCCTTCGCTAAACAGAATTTGGACACAGCGCTTTACCCACAGAACTTACATATTCTGTCATTTCAAATGATTATTGGAAACACAACAGGAAAAAATGACCCAATTTCAATGGAAATAACAAGAGTGAGGTGTGGTACACAAGCAGGGTCTGGGGTTTCCTGAGACCAGCTGGGGACAAGGAAACGCACAAGACTGTGCCACCCCGTCCTACACTATGAGAAGACAAGTAACACTGAATGTCTGAAAATTTCTTTTACTCAAACTCTCCCATTCGCTTCCCAACAAATAACTTTTGAAATTTGTATTCCTTCATTATATCTTCATTATAGGAAGGTGCTTGCATGGAGCTGTTAGCATTGTATATTTTGTGCTCTACTTTAAACAAAAAAAMCCCCGAAATTCTGTGAAATAGAGATTCTGTTTAGTGATTAAGCATCCCAGAGTGAGGGATGAGGCAGATGTGGATCTGCTTGGGCCAAAAATCAAATTTATTTTCAATCTGTCATCGCAGGCTTGAGTCCATGAGTCTCTTCCAGGCTCAGACTGGATTGACCAGGTACCAGGTTTTGCCTGCCCAGCTTTGCTGGACAGGTTGGCCTTGGGTTTCTACCAACACAGTCAGCACAGCTTGTTCCCATGGAAACCACATTTTGGTCCTCTGACACCTCACAGGATACCATCCAGCATCCCACTGCACAGGACTTGCGGGCTAAGCCTCAGTGGCAAAAATTTCTCCTCTGGTTTTGGCAAAGAGAGTTTCATTCCTGTTACGCATGGCAGGGGACAAGAAACTGAAAAGRACCGCGGTATTAATGAGTTCATTCAGTCTGTGGCTTTTCACACAGCAACATCTCTTCTACCTCAAGCCTCTACCTATATTTCTAATTCACCATGCAGGTAAGAAATTATTTAGCCTCCACTAAGGACTTGGAACATGCAAAGATTATGGGTCATTTTCAGTCTGCTCAGTTGGTATTTAAACAATTTAATTCCCAACTGAACAGCATTATTTTACAAATTTTAAGAAATAAATGGAAGAAGATGCAGTGAGGTTACATATAATCTCTACCTGGACCAGCAGACCCACAGTCCTGCCAGCTGCCACACTCTCCATCCCTGTGTGCTGGGAGAGCTGAGGGGGTCCAAGCCCCTTCCCTGTCCCCATCTCCACTGGGGCAGTGACATGCCCAGGGCTGCTGTACCAAGAAATGCACCTGACTCAGATCCAGAGCGCTCACTCAGAAAGGGGAACGTTACCTGAGTTACTGGTGAGTAATCCGAAAAGTTTAACATGAGGTAAGGATGGAGAGCACTGCAGTTGCGGTGCAGGGTGAGAGTCAGAGCCGGGCTCTATTTGGTTTTTCCCACACCACCTCCCAACTCATAGGCAGGGGTTCCTGCAGGAGAAGCCATCCCTTGGACTGCAGCCTCCCAGCAGGACCTTGCTGTGTAACACTCTGGGGAGTGGCAAAGGAGGGTCAAGCCCCACATCCTGCTCCAGCCACCAAAACAGTGTGGGAGACACAAGAAACGTGGGCAGGCCTTTTGCCTCTTCCTTGTGGTGCAGTATTGCTTCTCAGTCCAGTAACACTGAGCTGCTGCTACAGCTGGAGCTGGAACACATCCCAGCAGGGAGCAGGCACCCCTCCACAGCTCAGACCAAGGCAGGAGGAGGAGAGGAGGCAGCTCCACCATGGCACTGCCAAAGGACAAGGCTCAGTGAGACACCCAGATGTGGGACTGGTGACATCCAGCAGCTGAGGGTGCTGGCTACAGCAGCCAACAGCAAACATCCACACTGTAAATACATGTACTCGAGTCCCTTGTAACAAWGAAGCCCAGCACGGTAATCAACATTGATGGCAGGATTGGGGCCAAGCTGACAGAGTAATTTCTCTCAACATCCCCAAGAACCTACATTTCTGTGCCCTCACTATGGGATATGAAACCTGGACACAAAGTCCAGGGATTGTGTGAAATCAGGGTCCAGCACAGGCAGGTGGGATGATTACCTCTTTGTAACTCAGTGCTGCTGACGGTCTGAGTGGAGGAGCAGGACGGAGGCAGCTCAAGCTCCAGGGCTTGAGGATTTTGGGGGGTTCCAGAGGGCCACGGATCTGCCCAGCTGAACTAAATGTCTGAGAAAATAGATGAGAAGCAAACCAAGACTGTTAACCACCAAACAACGTAGAGAAGTRGAGAGGTATGGGCAAGCATTGAGACATTGACATGTCTAAGTTGCGACAAAAATAGAACAGGATATATGTACAATGGTACAAAACAACATGGTTACAAACCAAACTGCAGGATGTGTCTTTCAGCTGCCAGGTTACCTCAGTGTCAGGGTGCACTGCCAAAACACAGAGCTCAGGCAGCAGCAAGGAACCCAGGCAGCAGAGACCAAGAGGTGACACTTACTGAATGAGGGCTCCAGGACTGTGTTTTGGAGATGGTGCTGCACATCCCTTTGGTCAGCCTTTGTAAGTGGTCAAGCCATTCATGCAAGTCCTGGCTGGTGCTGCAGGACACAGTGATCCGCTCCATCATGTTCCCTGTGGCAGAGGGTTAAATAAATGTCTTTAGCAAGTGGTAGAGACTCAGGAGGAAACACAGGGTGAGCTGAGCTCAGCTCAGCACAGCCAGAAGCAATCCCTCAGTTTGAACAGTCCAGTGGCTGCAAAAAGGCCAGGGCAGAGACAGAAAGAGAATAATGGAATCACTAAGGTTGGAAAGGACATCTAAGATCATAAAGATCAACCATTAACTCTGTAATGCAAGGTGCACCACTGAACCAYGTCCCTAGGCAGCACATCTACAATGATGATGTGGCTGCCCATCTTGCTCAGGGCAACCACTGACAGTACGGGAGCTGCAAGAAATGGTAAGGGAACTGGTGAGATGAATGTGTGAGGATTATTTAATGTTAAAAGTCATTAAACACAACATTTCCATGATTAACAGGATCCTGCCACCTAATACCACCAGCACAAACTGCTGCAGTGCAGCCCAGGCAGTGAGTATGAAATGACTGTGCAAGTAATGAGATAAATTGAAGGGAGAAATCTAGGAAAGCTCCCTGATGACCAGAACCATTAATCAGTCATTAAACGAGGTGTTCAGAGGTACAAGGGATAGCCACTAGATGCAGACAGACTACACCAGTGCAGAGCAGTGCTACTGGAGCAGGAGAGTTGTCCCATATGAAACACTACACTCTCCAACGGCAGACAGAGGCAGAGCTCCAGGGCACTGGGAGGAGATTGCCTCAAACAGAACAGAGGCACTCAAAGCTCACACAACACACGGTAAAAGAGCAGGAGGGAGATTACGGCAAGGGGTTAGGGGACTTCCAGCAGCAACTGCCGTTTGGACTGGAAGGACATCCCCAGGCAGGCGTCCCACTGACCTGCAATTTCAAACATGTGCTCACTCCCTTCGGCATCTTCCAGCTTTGTCAGCGTCATTCCTGTCAAAGGCAGCTTTCCCTGGGAGAATTGAAAAGCAGTCAGTGTCTGCATCTGCTTCCCAGCAGGTGCTGTTCTGCTTGTTTTGGCTGATTCCTTTCTCTTTGGGAATGGCCATTTAAAATTAATTTGTAAAGGCTTCAGACTGCAGGAAGAGTTTCCTTTAGTTTATGGATCTAGATCTCCCTGCACAACTAGGTCAAACTCCAGAGATGAGGTTCCCATAACAACTGAGTCATCCCTGGCTCATCGGCTGCCCTTTCCCTTCAGTAGGTGCAAACCCCTTTTACAGTCAAGTCAGAAGGATCAACTTCCCCTGTTTTTTCTGAAAGCCTTCCCTGTCCCTCTGATTTGCATGTGAAATTGCCTACTCATCTTACTCCCAACGGTGGGTCAAGTCAGAAAATCCAGTCAAATCTTTCCCAAATCTTTCTCATCTCCTTTGCTATGGCAAATAACACACCAGAACAAGAGCATCCTTTTCCTGGCAGTACTGATGGTTTCAGACAGCAGGAGAAAGGCCAAGCGCTCAACAGCCTGATTCCAGCCATTGGAAGATATGGGAAAAGGTGAAACACAAGAAATGCAGAGTTATATGTAGTACCTCATGGAGTGGAATTTTTGAGCTCTTTGCAATGGGCATTATAAGTATTTTCTAGAGACTACACAAGATTGAGAGCCAGCAGGCTGGTCAAAACTCTACAGCTGGGTCAGGACACCTTACACACCCACATCTCAAGAACAGCAGGTAGAACAACAGGTTTTGAGGTTTTTCTTCATTTTTTTCCAATTTCACAACATTCACTTACGAAATACTGCTTGACCAATTATCAGGACAAAGGCATTGACTATCTTGGCATATGGTAAAGCCAAGCCCTGGTTCCCAGCCTGGGGCGTTTGCATCACAACAGACAGTTTGAAGGATGCAGAGGATTTGAATTTGATAAGAGCTATCTGATTTCCTTTTTTACACCAAACACCTTGCAACTTCAAATTAAGCATGCCTACCTGATAGATGAACCCACTCATCCGTGGGCTTGCAGACAGCATCAGCAAAACATTGGAAAATAACAAGAAATACCGCTCCTCTTTTTCCTGAGGGGATAAGAATTTAAGTTAATCCAGTCTGCAATGCATCACAAGCACCTGCCTCTAGCAAACTGAATGTATTGCAGCTGGAATCACAGCCTGTGAGATCATCCCAAACCAACTATTTCGGTTTTTTTCTTTACAGCATCTCATTTAGGTACCAGTTTTCCCTGCACAAATTTCTGTCTGCACCCTGCTAATCCTATGCGAATCATTGCAGAGTGCCTCAGAAGGCCTTATGTCCCCCAGCATCTCACATCATAAACAAGAAAGACTTTTGGGATAAGATGCTGCACAGGTTCGTTTTACAGATCTTCCCTTCCCAGGAAAAAGTTGCTACAGCAAGCAATCCAGTGCTAACAGGCACTTTCCCACACCAAGCATGCAGCACACATGGCTTCAGCACCACTGGGGAAGGTCTATGGCAGGCACTGGTGTGATGCATTAGGACCAATAGCACGGAATCTCTCCAGTTAGTTCCGAAGCATGGTCAGCTCTGAGGTGAGGCATCACAGCAGCCCCTGCGCTGCACTTTTCTCAGAGTAAGTTACAGGAGAGAAAGAGGAAAATTAATGTGCTGTATGACACTGAGATAATTATTTTGCTCTAAAAGTGTGTCACCAAAGATCTGAAGCTAAGCCTACTGGGTGCCTGACTCCCTCCAAAGACATGCACAGTCCCATTGCACAGCTTTTCCCCACATAAAATAATTTATCAGCATTATTTGTCATCAGTTTGTGGCCTGGAAGGAGAGGAGCTGCTGCCTTGCATCACTTATCCCAGAAGCAAGCAGGTATGTGGACATGAGGTCTTTGACAAGAAGAAGGAACACCACGCTCACCTCACTTCCCCCACACTGCACCATAACCTGGGACATGTAGATGATGTTTCCCATTGTTTTTATGTCCTCTCCTTCCCAGCACTGGATGGATTCAGAAAGGATTTGCAGCTCGAGTTGTTTCCTCTTCCTCAGCTCCTGGCATTGAGACTGGGAATCACAGCAGAGCTTTGTTAGCTGAAGGACAAGAGCCAACCCAAACCATATCACTTTCACCAAAAATACTCACACAGCCCTGTGGGCTCAGGGCTGGTCGTGTCAGGAGAGCCTGCTTTGGATCTATTGCACCACCTTTGTTAAAAACACCACACCCTAGGGATTTATGAAGTAATGATTACATTCAAATGTCAAAGAAATTGCAAATAGCACTGAGAAAACTTTTCTTTGCAAACCAGCCCTACCTCTGAAAGTACAGGGTCATATTTTCTAAACCAAGACAGCTGCAGTTAAATGTCTCTAATTTTGCTACTGCTTAGAGGCATTTTGCCCATTTTTTCCAAACAGTGGAGTTGTACCACCACAAAACCCCCACAAATCAGATGGTGGATATTTTCTAACCAAAGTCTGCAAACCCAAAAGGAGGACTGGGTGGTGCTGTAGAGCAGCACAAAAAAGAATCTTCTGAAAGTGCTGTAATTGAAAAGACTGCATCACTGCTGGGCGGCTGAGGACTAGAGAAGCTCCACAGAGCAACCAGCCCTTCATTAGCTCTCAGCAAGAGAGGGCTACACTGACTGAACAAAGACAGTCCTGCAAACCCAAGCAAAACTTGCTTAAACTGACCCCTCTGACAAGAGGGAAAACTGTGCCAAAGTCAAAACAGGGCTAAATTTTCACCAACTACTTGTTTTTTTTCCAAACCCTTTTTTTCTGATAGAGCTTTACCTCCTTTCCAACTCTTTGGCTATCTAGCTCTTCAAAAAGAGAGGCTGCCTTGGGTCTAGTCTGAAACCATATGCATTTGAACCAAACTGTGGTGGGTTGCTCTGGTTCTACAATTGTTATATGTTTTGATGGCTCCCCAAGTGTCTGAATCCCCAAGTGTCTGAGGATAAAATTCCAAGTAAAATCCACAGGAGTTCATCACAGTCTGTGCAGAGGCACCACTGTGAATAATGGCAGCTCTGCGGTCCCTCCCTGCCTTTGCTCATGAGCCTTCCTGGTCCTATAACGCGACCAAGCAGCCATCACAAGGGTCCTCTGCCTGTCTTACCTCAAATCCACAATGAACCTCATGAGTCGTATCATGATGACATTAAATTACTCATCACCCAAGTACACATTTCAAGTAAAACCATCCAGCACTTAAGAGATTTCCTAAAGATTAATGACACCTTATAATTTAACTGAGTTATGTCCCTATTAACTACCAGAATAAATGGAAAGGGCGCTGAGTTTCTAAGTAAATGCAACATAATCACCCTTTCCTGTTTTCTATGAACTTTCTCCTCCCCATCTTTTATCTGCGCTGATAAACACTGAAAACTTGCATCTGTTGTGCTAAAGGAAGGAAGCTGGACCATATCTGGAGTGGTTACAGTGAAAGGTTCTTAGTAGCTACAAAGCAAGAAAGACTACAGCTTTTTAAATAACCCAAGAAAGTTTTTCTAGGTAAAACCTTTGTGCTCATGGAAGGCTGTTCCCCTTCTATTACATCTCAGTGCAGCAGGACTTTGAGGCGTGCAGGTGACAGAGCTCACAGAAATAAGCTTGTTATTCATTCCTTCTCTCCATTCCCCACTGACAGCCATGGCACGTGGAGCCACAAATTACTGGAATGTGGTCCGTGGACCAAAACCAAGAGTTACTCTATGGGCACAGAGGGGAACTTCCCAGTGGCACCAGCATTTGAGTCAGTTACAGCCATGCTAACCTTCTTCTCAGTGAGCAAGAGGCGGTCTAGTTTCAGGTGGCAAATGATTAGGGAATGGAGGCAACAGGAGATAAAGGGACGCTGCTGCCACCACGGCCCACATGTGGCTTTCATCAATATAGGAGAAACTCAGAGAACCACCATCTCTGCTCTGGGACCAGAGAGACAGTGCGCATTTGCCAAAACACACGGCCGGAGAGGCAGCTCCAGGCTTGAAATGTGAAATAAAGATTCTTTGTAACCCATGATTTACATTTCAAAAGACCGTTTTTTCTAATGAGGAGACAAATGTCAGGCTTGACTCATTCTTCATGAAATGTAGACCAGAAATGGAGTACTCTATTTTAAGAATTGCCACCTACCACAAGGGACTTGAAGGATGTGACGGCTTTCAAAACATCTTCATGATCCGCATGCGCCTCCTAGTGAAGGGAGAGCAAATCCCTCAGCCACCAGCAGAAGCAACACCCACCCGAGGCATCACCCACTCCTGAGCATCACCCATTGTCCTAGGACACCCAGGGCCCAGGGTACAGGCACCATGGGCTTCAGGAGGAAGTCAAAGTCCCCCAGTTACCTTTCCCACCATCCACTTTGACATGGCATGGCTAAAGGCAGCTTTTCAATTCACTGATCCAATTTATTGAGTGTAAAGTGGCCAGAGCAAGAGCAGGTATGATTGGACTGAAAACAAATCAATGAAAACAGGCAGCGGTGCAGGGTGCACCTTCAGGAAGGAAACTTGCATTGATATGCCGGGTATTGCAGCCACTGCCCTATCAAGGATGGAAACCAACGAGCATCAGTGTGGGCTTCACCTCCACCTTTAAGGGAGGACATGTCTGAGCAGAGAGCTCTTGGGCCACGTAAAAGCACAGTAGGTGCCCCTTATCTCCAACCACAGCTGTATGCTAGTACTCTCCCAGAATTTTCTCATGGACCTACAGCCTTGCTCCTCACCATCAGGTCCTAATGGGAAGCAAATCATAAGACGGTTAGGCTGTGATGGAGCTGTCCCTGCAGCCTGGGATTGCTCATCTGGAATGTGGGACGAGTGGCAGTCCTGAACAACTGCCCCCTCAGCAGCTGTGCAACAGTGCAGGGAATGCTGCGCTATAGATCCACACTGCACACATTCACACTGCATACAGCCATCCTCTTCCCACAGCATCGCAGCTTAAACCTTAGCCCTACTGATTCATGCAACAGAACACCCACACTCATCTTAGAAACTAAGAGAAATAAGTGATATGTGTGTCCCAGATCCACTGCTGAACCGCCATATATCCTGCTAAGAGCATATTGTCCTTGCACRGGCACGGTGGCTGAAGCCAGGCTCAGCTCAGTCCCTGCAGCTCAGCTCAACTAGGTGAGAGGGTATAGATAGGTCTGGAGTGTGCCTACCCTGCAGGCTGTCGTGCCCTCTCCTATGCAAGAATGCCCCTGGTTCAAGCATAGAGGTTTTAATCCTTTGGCTCGATTGCAGGTCATGATTAAGTGTGGTGAATTAACTGACAATTAAAACTGGAAGAGGGGGAAAAGCAAACTTGGTTAAAACCAGACCGTTACTCCTGTTCTCTTCACCCCTTTGCATCACCCCTGAGTTTTGCCTTCCCACAACTGGAATGCACCAGCAGCGAGTAGCAGAGCTCCCGTGGCAGAGATCTCTACAGTCCCTGGGGCAAGAAATGTCCTGAAGCAAACCTGCTCCTTGCCAAGGAAGCCTCTCTGCCCCTGGTTGTTCTCCCTGCTCCCTTGGACTTGCTCTCCACTCCGATGTCAGTGCTGGCTCTGCCTCCATCCAGGAGCACAACCCTGGAGCAAGGAGTGAGGAGATGCCTGTGAGCCACAGGAGTGAGTGGCCAGGCTTAGGAATCTCATCAAATGATAACAAAAACACACATTTATTCCCGGCTGCGCAAATAAATTGCAGCTGCAGCTCGACCCTAGACTCTTTTACTTGTACTGGAAATGGCTCATCTTTGAGGAAGGGCTGGGGTGAAGAACAGGCAATGCCTTTCCTCAACATTCCTCAGATTCTTCCAGCTTTCTCACTTTTAATCTGAAAAGTGGATAATGTCCCAAAGACGTAAGACGTAAGACATCTCCTTACAGATACTAAGTACTTTTAGCCACATGGTGCTCAAATACCAGGAGGCAGAGGTGTCTCTTGGAGCTCAGGGAGCAGCTCTGGCAGCATCAAGGGGCACAGCCTGCCCARCAGCCCCACACCCTACCTACCTCCATGTGCCGCTCCAGCTCCTGTAGCAGTGTCACGTATTTATCCAGCCTCAGGAAGGGTTTGCTGAGGCTTGTGGTCAGGATGAGAATGCCTGGGTTGGCCGCACCCTGGCTCTCCATGAACTTCTCCAGCTCATCACTATAAATAGAGACAACAACAACAAGGAGAGCTCTCAGAGCTGAGGGCTGTGTTTTGCTGCCTCCCACTCTCTCCTGATGGCTGGGGCTCTGCTGAGCTGGGCCTCTTTAAAGGCGGCACAGACTCCCCTCTGAGCACCTCCACCACCACCAACCCCACGGGGCAGCCAGGGCGCTGGGAGCTTCCAGCCAAGCAAGACCCTGCTCATCTGGGAAACGGGAGAGAATACTGTGTGGCCACAGGTGTTGGAATGAACAGCCCCTGGGGTGCATCGGTGCCAGCAGCTGGTCCCCCAGCACAGAGAGGTGACACAGGGCTAGGTGTCTGCTGGATGGGGGGCAGCGGTGGGAGCTGGAGAGGCGGGTGCTGTGTGGGAGGAGGCTGCAGCAATGCACTGGGACTCTGCTGGAAGCTGTGATGCAGGTGCTTGCAAGTACATTGTTCTGGAAAACATGCCTTGTGTGCCTCAGTACATTTGCCAAAGCTGATTCTTTGGCCGATTTTGGAAAAGCAATTAGACTGAGGAATCAAATGAATGAGCCATTGGTTGGAGCCAGCCTGGTTACACTGAGTTAAAGCTGGATTTCAGCAGGTAATTAAACACATTGCGAATTCCCATCGCAGAATAGGAAGACTTAAACAGTATTAAACAGTATGGATGTGGTCCTGGCTTACCCAACACTGCAGGGAGGGCAGCTAGCCTGCATTAAAGATGACACAGTGGTAGCATTTTGGCTTGCTACACTTGAGCAGGATATCACACAAGTTCAAGTGTCTACTCAAGTGGGTCACATTGAAGAAAGATGTTGTTAGTGTGAYCCACCAGTGACCCTGAAAATCAACCATTTGGTTGAATAGAAGCTCAGTTGATAAACTGGGCAACTCTGGGTGACTCAATGACCTTCTCCTTCTGCAACATTGTGCTCCCCACCACGGTGCTACTGGGGAACACCCTCCCATCGGTCAGTGCCTGAGCACTTGAGCAGTAGGTATGAAACAGTATCTGGGTCCTTTAGCAAGCAACAATCACAGGAGATGCTACTGCCAGAGCTGAGTCTACCTGTTTGACCCGAGGTGGGAGAACTGTATGTGCAAAAAAGACCTGTGAGATCAGCTCTGAGCACAAGCAATGTGAACTGTTTTCATGCTGAAGCTGAAAAGCTCTGCTGAAGAGCCCAAAGCCCCAGCAGATTTCTCAGCAGCAGGAAATCCCCATGCCCTAATGTCAAAACACAGATCAACAGCCATGCCTATTAATAACAAATGTTAACTTTTTTTAAGGAGTCTGAAAATCCTTCTCCATCACTCACCTGTGCTGTGTGAGGACGTTCACTGCTGACGGATGGTTAGCACAGTATGTCAGGTACAGGGAGTGGAACTGGGGCATCAGGTTCATGAAACATCCTCCCACACGCTGCTGGTTCTCGGGGAGCCTACAGGCACCAACACACCGGCCATGTTAAGCCTCTGAATCCGCACTCTGCAGCTACAGCACTCTCAAGGACCTGCCAAGGAACCACCCACTGCACAGGGACATTCTGCAGTCAGGTCATAACTGCAGCACTGAGCAAAATACCCACACCTGCCACCTGGGGAGGAGGAGGATGTAGATCCTCGGGTGGGTCTGGGTTTCTGTGTGCAATGAGCATTACAACCCATTATCAGCTTGGGATCAGACTGATCCGTCCCACCAGCAGAACTGCAGCGGGGATGATGAGGATGAGAATGTGCTGGAAAGAACCACAGGCAATGCAGGGGGAGGTCCCACTCTCTGGGCTGCCCATGAGTATTAAAAGATGGAGAAAGAAAGAGAAGCCACAGCCTGAATATATTCCCAAGATTCAGTCTTTTTCCATCTCTTTTCAGACCTTAGCTAAGGCTAAACAAGTCTCTCAGCCTCCCTGCAGGAAATTATCACCTCTAATAATTTGCTCTTTTCCCTGGAAATTTCCATCTTCATGCCTGACAGATCTCTGCGTATGTCTGCATCTTTGGGTTAGGCACACTTTCGTGTCAGGTCTAGTGACACTCATTCAGCAGATGCCTTAACACCAGATATGTCAGAGTTCCTTCTCCCTTCCCTCCTGCCAAAGCGCTACCTGCCATCTTTCCTCAATCCTGTTATTTTTTCTATATTTAACAAGCCTAAGACAGTAGCCAGGAGGAACTTTGATGAACATGTCTTTCTATTATTTCAGCTACAGTTTGAAAGCTTAACAACCTCAGTGCTACGACACAAACTTACTTTGCAACTTCTTCCACAGCTTGGTTCAGTGTTTGCTGAAAAGCAGAGATTTCTTCCATGTTTCCCAGCAATGCCGCGATGTCCCCAGCACTGAGCCTACAAGAGTCACATCACCAGTCACCATCAAAGAGAAGCTGCTCTCAGTAGCACCCCTTTAGTATTTGTAAGCAGCTCTTCCAAAAAGACCCAAGAATCACTCCTTCTCCATCAGAGAGAACACAAAATTCATGATCTGTGAGCTACAGACCAGTCTCCTGGAGAAGATGTCTGCTGCCAAAGATTATCTTAATTGCATTTTAATCACTTAATTGCACTAATCTCCTCAGATATTTAGCTGTCTATTAGGCATAGACAAATGGGATTTCAGCCAGGGGTGGGGAGGTGTATGCGCAGACACAGACAGTTTTGTCTTCAGGGATTCTAGCTGTGGGTTGCCCTATGGGAGAAAGGTCCTATAGGTAAGGGCTGCTTTGTTCCTTGAGTGAGGCTGGATGTTTCCAAAGCTAATGTGCTTGTTGCTGTCATCCCTAGAGTCATTCTCATATCACCCTCATTTGGGCCATTTGCTGCCTACAAGGCTGAGAGCACAAGAAATTTTCCCACATTAAGTTTTGGGGAAGGAAAAAATGACTGAAATACAAAGGCCTTAGGATACCAGCCTCCCATCTCTCTGACTGGTTGACGTCTAAATATGTGCCCTCTCTCTGTGACACCCTAAGGCTCCCACAGTGTTCCCTCCACCTCAGATGCCCTTGTATCTTACTTATCATAAGACTGGAGGGGTCTTAAGTAAGTTCCCAGAAGTGACTGTAGTTCCTTCGCATAATCTCGTTCTGTTTCCAGAATATTTTGCAACACCTAGGGTGAGAGACAAAGCACTAAGAAGATCTTTGTACTAGCAAACTAGTCAAAGGAACATGACATCAACTTCCAAGTTTGAAAAAGCATGGAAGCATATTTTAAGCCCAGAAATTACATTTCTTAATGCAGAACCCAGAACATTCGGGAAAGTCCTGGTGGTCAAATATGGAGATTTACTTAGCAAGTGTTGAAAGCTGTATCAAGGATTGTTTCTGGGGCAGATCAAGCTAAGGTACACCTCATTTGCCACTTCAGGGATGTGGTGAACTGGGTTTGGTCCTCCCAATCAATCTCAGTAGCCAGTTTGCCTCTGGCCATATAGCAGGAAAATCCAGTGCCTGCACGCTCCCAGTCGGAACTCCAGTTTCTTAGCATGGATTAGCTCTGGAGAGAGTCAGGGTGCTTTCCAGCTCCCAGGACATACTGTTTCTGCTTTGCTTTGCTTAAAATATATTTAGACATGCTGATGTGCAGGATTCAGCTCCAGCACTGAGCACCAGGGGTGCTCACATGAGGCATCTTCACTCTCTTAAACCACAGRTTTCACTTCAGCTTAGACATTGGGCAAAGGTGCCTGCCCCTGCTTTTCCAGACCTCCTCAGTCTGCAGCAAGACGCAGAGGAGGGGATGTTTCCGCACAGTTCATGGCCTGGCAGGCTGTGAACCTGTTCCAAAGCCAAGCCCAGTTACAAAGCTGGGCCGTGAGGTGTGGTAGCTGCTCATTCTCCGAGGGCTGCAGCTGCTGGCAGAGGCACAGAACAGACACCTCAGGGTGCCATATTTCCAGCCAAACCCAAGAAAGGGACCACAGCCCTGATTTGGCTTGCTTATACCATGACATTATCTCCCCAACTTTATCAACAGGAGATACAGTGCCTTATCCCCCCACTTTTGTCTGAAAGCTGCCACCTCAGCTTAATTACCTCAGTTGTCTACTGCAAGTCTCTACTTTTGACATCTTGCAGCCACTTCCATTTGTGGCTTATTGTCTCAACAGCCTTGAATCAAGGGAATAGAAACAGCTGCATTTAAACACAGAGTCACATCCCCAATTGTTACAAATTGCTTCAATGATTTTTAAGGGAAGGAGCCAATTCAGAAGACTAATAACATGCTACTTATTGAAATGTATGATCAGCACTTTAAAACTTACCACAGGGTAATAATTCTTTGTCAACTGAGTATTTTCTAGCCCTTTTAATGCTTTGGGAGAGAGTGGTTTATCTGCACAAAAAAAACCAACATGAATAAATTACAGTGCACAGCTCTCATTATTCCATCAGGAAAAGACACTGCCATATCATGTCCAGCACACATAACTTCACCCCAGTGAACACAAAACTTCAATTGCAGGGTTTGTTTCCCTGTTTTGCAAAAAAAATGGGATTAAACCAGCGGCACGCATGACGCCGACAGCAGTCAAGCAAGTCACACCAGAAGCTTCATGCAGCCTCTGCCAGCAAACATCCAGGTTTGCTCCAAAATCCCTGGCAGCAGCCCAGTATCTGACTGGCCCACTAAATTTGGGTTTAAAACTGGGTGTCTGTCAGAAATGATAGGCACTGTGTTTTTTTCCAGGTGATTCACAAGGCACTTGAAGTCAACCCCAGCCAATATGCTGAACTCCAATCCCTGCAGTCACTTGTGATGCAAAATCCTTCTCTCAATGGAGGTGGATTTAAATGAAAAGCTCCCATAAACCTGGAAGTCCATTCTCATTCCGCATTTGGTAAATCCCTTTGGATGCCTCCAGCATTGTACATGTGGGCACACCAACGCATGCACAAGTCCCTGCTACATTTTTCCTTCCCTAGAGAAGCCCCTTCCCTCCCAGCAGCATGGCTTTCCCAGGAACACAATCACTCTCCGGACTGGGACAAGCAGGCAGTGCAAGGCTGCCCCAGCCCTGGCCACACCACACGTACTGAAGCGGTTCTGTGCCACGCAGAACAGCCAGGCTCTCCTGTCTCACTGACAGCAGGGAAGAAGCTTGAAATTGATAAATTTAGCCCTTGGAAGCTGCAGCTTGATCCACTGTCTAATTATTGCCCTTGTGGTGCTTCCTGTCTCTTCTAGCTGAGAGCTCTGTGCTTCATCTGAAGACTCAGAGGAGCTCAGCTCCACAAAGTTATTTCACAGAACTGCAGAATATTTCCACCTAAAGGACACACCTAGGATGCAGCAGAAGTATGGACAGGTTTCACGTGGCTGAAAAACAAGTAACTCCATATAGAGTGACAAGTCTAACACTGTGGCGGTGGGAAAAGCAGTTCCCTGCCATGTGCAGCCCCAGCAGCACTCCCAGGTCGGGGAGGATTTACTGATGGTCCTTCATTCCTCACTTGCAATATGGCCACATCTCCTGAGCATGTAGACACCAGGGCAATGAACCCTCCTGTCACGTGAAATGGTGCTGAGAGAGGATCTGACAGAAAAGTTCTGCAGACAGAAAAATATGATGGGCTCTTAYGTCAGGATACATGGGAGACTGGCCCTTCACTTCAGTCATTTGCTGTCATTTCATGCAGCTCCAATCTGATTTTCCTTATAGGATTCAAGTTTGCTCTCCTTTGTTTAAAACATCTTTCTTCTCCCCTCACCGAGGTAATTAGTAATTCCTGAGTTGTGCCAGACAAGCCTTCAATCCCCGCTGCAACGTCCTGCTACAGCTCAGATATCATTTCCCAGAAGGAAACAGTGGGAGACGTGCTATCCTAACAACCTTTTTATTCCATTTAGTATTAAATAAAACCTGACCTAATTCCGAGCACTAAATCATCATTTTTTTTTCTTCCCTCCTTTGCTTTATTTTTGCGAGTATGGGAGCAAGGATGTCAAATAGGGGCTGCACATTTTGCAGCTGCTTTGCATACCCCTGCTGGCATCCCAGTGTTTGAGGCCAGAGCAGATTCTGAGCCACAGAACCAAGACCAAGCACACGATTGGTCTCTGTCTATGGTAAGTCTTCAAGGCACACTGAGGAGTTAAGTTGCATTTTATAAAAAGCCAGTTAACTCTCACAAAAAGGCCTGRGCAGAAGTGAGCTGCTTGAATGGATGTGTAATGCCATAGAGCAGCTGGCCAGGGGCTTCACATCATCACCACGCCATGTCTGGGTACGGCCACATCACAAAAAACGTTAAGGACACTCAAGACAAAGCTCAATAAGGCAGATGTCATCAAATGGATTATCTCTTCCCTCTTCTTTTCTGAATATCACAGCAGAAACATCTGGGGAAAAATGTACTCTGTGAAATCAGCCATAAGTATGGACCAAAAGTGGGACTGCATGCCCTTTGACCATGCAGTTTTTGTTGGATTCCACACCATGACAGTGAGCGTCCATTCCACTGATGCCTAAAAAGCCAGGATCAAACACAAATACATTGCCTGACCAAGCTCTCTAACAAAAAGCTTCTTCTGTGTTCAGATGCTGGAATAACCGATGGCTCCCCAGGACAAAGGAGACCCACATCCATCTCTGTCTTCATCTTCTGACAATATCCCTGCTTCCATGCTGCTGGCACTTGGGGGGAGCAACAGAAAGGAGCAGTGTGATGGGAAAGGGGTGAAGCAGCTCTCAAGCAACTCATCCAAAAGACTACGCTTTACCCTTCAATTCATCTTGCCATTAGCCAGGCTGCCTGAAGCACACAAACAGTCCTTAATAAATAGCAATTTCCCTAAGGCATGAGGGTCCTCACTGCATTATGCCACTGTCATTCAATCAGCCCTTGAAAGCAATTTGCTTACCAGTGGATTTAATTTCTCTGACATAGTTGCTTGGGAACCAGCCTGTTTTTCCATTTAAGGTCCCTTCCCACCAGCCCCCTTCTTCAACCCGGGTGACATAAATAATGTCTCCTTTGTTAACAGAGAGTTCATCCTCATTGGTCTGCTTAAAATTGAACCTGGCCTTTACCACCAGCTGATGACTGCCATTCTCGGTCATCTCCTAAGGAAAGAAAGGTGGAAAAACATCAGTAAACAGTCAACACAGAGCAGAAACCACTAGGACAAGCTATTGTTCTCCTCTGTTGTGACAGCTGTTTTTTCAGTATTCCTCTGTGTAGGCAATAGCAGCTTGCTGTTGTGTAAACACTCCCTCCTGAGGACCACAACGTCCCTCCCAAGCATGAATTTAGTTTCCCAGCGCAATGGGTGCAGATAAGAATCACTCTCCTCATGTCACATAGAGGAACACTGCAGTCTGGAGAAGCTGCGAGACTCTCTCCAACTGAGGCAGCAAACCTAGGATGGAGATCAGGAGAGAACAACCTCTAGTGTTGACCTAGAGGTGCCAATCACACTCCTCTACCCCCAAGGCCATCAAACCCATGAATACAAATTAAATAAAGGGTACCACAGGCTTGGACTGCCTCCGTAAAGCCCTCGCTGACTGGGAAGCTGTGCCGTTGGAGTCACTCTGGGGGTCTCCAGTCACAGAGTTAAGAGAGGACAGATGTGAACATGGCCCTTTTGACGGATGATCTGAAGAAGCAAAACAACATCTGAGTTTTACCCAACTGTCCACCATCCCTCCACATCACAGCAAAGAAAAGTGTAAAGCCCATAAAGAAAACAGAAACAGGGCACAACAGTTCAAAGAGCATCTGTGAGAGCAAGACAGTAAGTGTGAGGCATCTGCAGCACAGCAACACCGAGTCAGCAGTGAGGATGGTTTTCTGGGCTGGGATAACCCTTCTGTCATGGAAGAAGTTGAACTGCATCCCGAGGCACTCCTAGATTGTGCCAGTTCTGCAGCCACACACCCAGTTGCAGTATTTCTTTAAAGTTCCCCTTAAAACTGTAGAAAAGTAGAATAATAATCAGCCCAGTGATGCCCCACTGGGAATGTTTCTGCAATCCAAGTACGCAATGTTGAAGGTGTGTCAAAGTTTAGCTCTCCAGTGAATGCTCTTAGGTCACCTCTACAGCTGCTGTGGGGGCTACACTGCCGAGTGGGGAGGAATGCTGAACAGTTGGTCAACACAATCACTCCTCTATTGAGAGGAGTCCTTCTGGGTTCATTATCCAGCGGAAAGAGGTTTGGCACTATTTTGATTGCTGTTCATGGACTGCTGCCATTAGTCGTGAGAGAGGGGTTCAAGCCATGCCAAGGAAGGAGAGGAGTGTCATCCCCAGTCATCCCAACAGCTCTTGGAGCTGCCTCCTTCACACTCCTTCAGAGTTTCTTGCTTTGCAAACCAGTCTCTAGGCTTGTTCCTGTCCCCACCTGATACTGGAAGCAATGCTGCTGCTCTGACACATCTGTTTTCATTGACTAGTGATTTGTTTCTATATTAATACTGAAAAARGTTGTCAGAAGTCAAAAAGTTTCCTGGTCACAACTGTGCAGAGACTGAGTCAGTAGCCTTGCTGCTAAGAGCAGTCCTAGCTCCGGCAGGACCTGGCAGCGCTCAGCCCCAGAATCCTGCTTGATGCTGCTGAGGGGTAAAAACATGGGATTCAAGCCACCCAGTAATTTCCAGTACTTCTCTGCTACTGTACCCAGCACCACACTGAGGGACACCACTCTAATCACCTTCTTTCTATGTCCCATGGTGCTCAAAAGACACAACGGCCGATATTATCATTTCAGTAATCTGTGAAGGACTTTTGAGATTGGTCTTATAGCTTCTCTTCAGATTTTAGGACATTTCTGCATTCAAGAGCTGCAGTTTTCCATCTGCTGTGGGGACCTCGCATGGCCATGGACCTCAAAAGCAGAACAGAGAAGAGCAGTCTGCAGGAATCCCTGTGCTGGGTGTGCAAGCGCCTGGACCATGTGTGGAGTTCTGCCCAGAAAACAGTGCAAGAGAAGGTGATGCAGCCATGAAGTGTATGCAGAAATCACAAAAGACAAATTCCAAGGCTGCTTTTCCTCCACTCTCCTCCAGTCTGAATATTGGCATGGMAAATTCAGTCTGAAAGGGAAGTTTGGTGGGCGTTACAGGAACTCAGCTGGGCTTTTATTCTCCCCTGAGGATTTTTGTTTTGATAGAAAAACACCTCATCCTTAGATTGGACCTGGAACAACACAAACCATGAACGCTTGGGGAAGGGACTTGCTTTGTCTCTCTCCTACCTCTTGCACCATGGGGACCAGGCTTCCAGGTGCTGCAGCTTTACAAACCCAGCCATGTCATACCCATGCACCAGTGTAGCCAGCCCATGCTCCAGCGATGCACAACATCCACAGTAAACCTTGTGTGATGTCAGTGAGTCAGTTTTCTCTCTTGCCCTGCYCGTTACACAACTGCCTGACAACTGTATGGTGAATTCTCAGCTCCCTGGGCTGCAGCAACCGCAAAACCCCTCTCCATGGAAAACCCACTTTGCCAACAGACTGGGTTTTTGTCTCTGAAGCATCCCGATATTTGAACAGGAGTGGTTTGGCTGCTCCTGGTGACTCACAGGCCAGGGGGGTGGTCAGCTGCCAGGGTGAATTATTCTTCCCCCGATTCCTTCTGAAAGGGAGGACACAATCCATGAGTCCAGACTTTGGTTATTCAAGTCATCAGACACAGTCCCATAGAAATGACTCAGTTACTGTAGATTTTATGGTTCTCCCTGCCCCTCCCAATCTTCCAAAGTTTTTATAAATATCTACGGCAACCTAGAAACAAATGTAAAACTGACTTTGACAGTTTGGCAGGGAAGTGTGTAATTTATATTGCATCATGACAGCGTCGCATTTTATGCCTGGTCCAGCACAGAACACTGCTGCCATATGTTGCTTAAACTATGGTTAAAATAGCTGGGTTTTCTGTTCACATTCCTGCGCTATTTTTGGCAGATGAGCCTTGTCTGATCCAACACAGCTGGTTTTCCTCTCCTCTTACAGATAAAAGCATCAAGCACTGTATTGCTGTGTTTTGATGGACAGCTGCTGAACTATGAGTTTATCTGCTACAAACAATTCCTCAGTTATTTGCATAAAAAGATCCATGAAGACACAAGGATTTGGACTTCAAATGGGTGCTCAGAAACACATTCCCACAGTGTTTCCTTAGCTGACACCTACTTCCCTCTGCCTCCAACCAGGATGTTGGGATGAAGCAGTGCTGGGGTGTTGGGATGTGCAGGCATGCCAGAGTCTTGGCCAAAGCAGCAACTGCAGCAGCAGGTACCAGGCTTATCCTCATGCTTCAGGATGCTTCAGCCCGTGGCCTCTGGCAAGATGGACAAACCAGACCATCTGCAGTGACAGTTTGTAGGACACAGGCTCCTGCTCCTCAGGAACTTGGCCAAGCCACCAAAAAGCAAACATTTTAGACTTGTATTTATTTTACCCCGTACTGTACCCAAGGGTGCTCTCTGCCTGAGCAGCTAATTATACCGCAGGCATTGCGCTTTTTAACATTTAAACTCAGAAAAAGTATGTTCAAGTAGATTTTTGCCATGAAACCAAGAGACTCTCAGATTCTCTACAGTTCCATCAGTAATATATGATAGGAACTATTCTCCACAAGTGTCCTGTCCCAGGCTGAGCTGGCACACGGGTGGTTGGAAGAATGGAGTTGGGACAGTAAATGAGGGAACTGATGTGTGAATCACATTGCAGCCTGGCCACCCCATCAACACACACCCCATCAAACCCCATCAGCCCAGTAACAGGTAAGGACAGAGGCAGGAAAGAATCTCTCTCTTTTTGCTTTCAGAAAAATGAAACAACTATCAATGACAACAGCAGCAGTTGCAGAGGTTGCTCCCGGTCGAAGTAACCTACATTTTATATCCCCCATCACACTGAACTGCAAAAGCTTCTACCCAGGGTCAGCAGGTGCTGTCGGTAATGGGGTGGTTAGAGGCTGGGAGGAGATGGTGTGCTGAGGCTGAACTCCCATTCCTACACTTCTACGGAGTAAGCTATTCACAGAGCTGAGTCCTGGCTGCAGAACAGCAGCCTCAGAACCTGAATTTCTTCAGAGCAGTATTATACAAACAGACACACACGTGTGTGTGCAAATCGTAAGGGTGTGTGTACAAATATATACTATTACTGTATATTACATATTATTATTATTATTATTAGATATTATTATATATGTTGATGCACAAATATGCATAATTTATACACCAGTTTACCAGTTTATATAATGTATAGGCAAAATGCAGTAAGCCAAAAGGAAAACCTTTGCATAAGAGGAAAATAATGAGTTTTCATTTTGAAATTTCCTCCTTTAAATCACCTCACATGTAACCTTCAACAGGGAAACTGAATTCTTCTCCAAGTGCTGGACTTCAGTGCATACCCAGGAGTCTGTCCTAATTCACCTGTATGACAAGAGGCTGTGAACTCTTCCCAGCTCCAGGCAGACCTGTTCATCTCGTCAGAAAATAATCCTGATCCCCTCACCCCTCTCTGGARCACCACGGTGCCATCATCCCCCTGTTTAACTTCTCCTTTCACAGCCTATGCTACTGAATCTCAATTTTAAGCAACCTATAGGGAACAGCTACATATCTGGGATGGAATCAAGATGAGTTGATTTGTTTTGCTTCAGCACCTACTCCTGCTCCCAGTGATGCAGGATAAGCCATCAGTTTGATTCCCAGACTCGGGAGCCTACTCCATGGAACCAGGGAGAGGAGAGAGAGAAAAACATCAATACAATTGACTGAGCAACTCGCAACAACATTTGTTTTGACATTCAGTAAAGATGTTATGCAGATGGAGCCACTTTTCTCTTTGCCTTTAAAACACACTACTTAAAATCTGATATTTGCATTTTGGGAGGTGCATGCTCATTTATATTGAGCATCCCTTACGCTGACCTACTTTGAAGTCCCTTATTACTGTCAAAAATGAGCAGAGGTCCCTCAGTGCAAAGAAATAATTGAGCTCTGCAGAGTGTACACAGCAACTCTGAAATGTCACATTTTAATTCAGAGTTGGTTGGAGCCTGAAATGTCAATCCCACCATCCACCATTAGCCATCAGTGCAGCCAGCCCAATTTGACAAACCTCGAGAAATCATCCTAAACTAGGAATTAGCAAAAAATTAAAAACCAGCCCTGGCTGCACAAAGAAATCGTTTGAAAGAACAACAGAAGAACCCCTTTTTTCTTACCTTCAGTGGCTTTATTTACAGCTCTTAATGTGTTCAGGACCTTGGAGAACTGATCTCCGGTGTACAAATCATGTGGATCAAACACCTGTGAAAGACGAACTCATTTAGTCGAGCCCAAAACATCTCACGCTGGCTGCTGGAGCCACCCACGATACTGGAGGGTGACAGTGAGGATTAGGCAGCCCCTATGTCTCTACAGAGCTGACAAGTCCCGTATCATTTACAACCAGAGAATTCCTGGGGCACCACAGGCAGGCAGTGTGGGAAGGGCAGGGGACCCAGCAGCATTTGGAGTTCAATGCTGGGTACAGGGAAGGAAGGAATCAGTGCTGACTGCAGAGCAGTGATTCCTCTGAAAATCACTGAGAAGGTTATTGCTGCCCTTGAGGGAAGAAAGATTTTGTTGCTATTTTTGTTGTCAAAAGCTGAGGAGATTGAGGCTGTTCATACAGATCTATGTATAAACACACAGAGCAGAATTAACACACATGGAATTTTCTGCTATTGCAATATGGCATATATAATACATTTATGCATTTTTACAGGAAGACATACCCAGTTATCTTATATACAAAAATTTCACCCTGAAGAATTTGGTGTCGCTGATCCTCAATGGCAAAACAGAAATACATAGTCAGCAAGGGCTTATTTTTCGTGACTGATAACCTGAACCTGGTACACTTCAGAATTCACCACCCTACGGTGAGGGGCAATTCAAGTCTCCAAAACACTGCAACCCTCCCTAACACCTGAAAAATACAGACGTACAAATCCTACCATTAATGAAGCAAAGATAAGAGTACTAAAAGTCCATTATTGGTACCACCACAACACCATCTGCTAACTCCCAAACACACATTATCTTGCAAATGGAGACTGCATACAGACAAATCCAATGCACGGGAAAGATTATTTTAAAGCTCTCCTGGCAGACACCATCTAATTACAAACATTTCCAATGCACTGAAGAGTGTATTCTGCTAAACAAGGGCACGAGTCTTAAATACCTTTAGGCTAGTATTGCCCTTTAAAACAGCCCTTTCTTGCTTTCCACACAGAGCTCCTTGAGTACGCTTGGCATATTTCAAATAGGAAGGGGACTGGCCGCTCCCACAGCCCTGGATGCTTGCGGCACCTCCTCCTCTTMACAGACACGCCAGAGCAGCACCGAAGCCCAACAGAGACAGGGCAATGACTGCTCTTGGTTGAGAATGTATTTTAAAATTTACTCAGCTACTCAATATTGAGAGACAGGCTTTACCCTAAAGAAATTTAATCCATGCTTAGCGAGCGGACAGCCTGCTGTCATTATAAATATTAAAACCTGCAGCTCCACAGCTCTGATCGCATCTACTGCTCTGCACATTCCAGGGACATACCCACCTACCCTGGGCTGTTTCTGAGCTGACCTGTTGCCTGCACCCACTTGTGTTTGCGCCTTTGGACCATGCAGGTCCCATTCCCCCTGCCAGCTGGTGCATGAACCAGTGTACCTGCCCTGTAGTTGCAGGCAGTGCTATCCGAGCGTTTCCTCCAGCCTTAAGTAGCGACATTCCCATCTCCGTGGAAAGGGAGACGCGGTAACAGAGAGCATGGGCGTGCGCTGACCCYGTTGGCAGCTGCTGGAGAATGGGATGTTACAGTTGCACAAGAGTAAAGTAAACAGCTGGGCTGAGATGTTTGCATGCATCTCTCTGTTGTGTCATTTTCTCAGCCATACCCTTTCTCTTCCACTTCAGTAATTACAGAATAATAAAGTCCTGACTTGAAATAATGCCCTTTTTTTTTCCCCTAAGGAGCAAAGTAGTAAAATACATCCCAAATCCTTCAATGCAGAGAATAATGCTGTAAGCTCAGTCATCAGGCTGACAAAGTCCAGATGAAAATGGTGAGGAGAAAGATATGCAAAAAGTCCTAGCACAAAAGCAAGTAACATTTATAACTTCTTCATGGGGAAATTGTCTGGAATAGCTACAGTGGAACAGTGGCTATGTGGAAAACTCTTGTGGGTCAGCTACTGTAATGTAAATATTCTCTGCAGCTTGTTCAAGAATAAATTCCTCATACAGAGAAGTCCTCACTTGTGAACTAAAAATTTTTTTTCCAGCATAATTTATCGATAATTCCATTCATAACTAAAAGACAAGCTGCAGCTAGAAGACAAATAGAGGCAGAAAAGGCTTTTTCGCTTCTCATGGAAGATCAGGTGGATGTAACTAAAGCCGTATTTAAATCTACACCCGTCATTTGAGAATCTCCATTAAAACGCAATTCTGACTTCCAGAATCAAAGACTGCAGCTCCCTTCGGCGAAACGCTCCCGCTGTTTGGTCAAGCACCGCACCGGGAGAGAGAAGCCCCGCACTGCCGCACCGTCAGSCTCCGCCAAAGGCAGCGAGGGGATAGGAGCCGGCGCTTCGCGACCAGAAAAGCGCTCGGCTATTCGAGAAGGACGAAAGCCAAACCCGGGTGCGGCTAGCAAGTTATCAGCACCCAAAATTCCAGTCCCGCGAAGGGAAGAGCAGAAAAGTTAAGGAAAGCCGGGTTGTGTTTCGAGTCCGAGCTGTCCGCAGTTGGACAGCCCCCAGCAAACACGCAGCTGGGTGCCAAGCCCGAAGCCCTGCGCGGCCACGACCCCTCCCAAACCCGAGGACGGGGGATGAAGCCGCCCGTCTCTCCGTGATGCGGCGCTTCGGGTGCTCGCTGACCCGGCTGCTCCCCTCGGACCTGCCTCTGCCTCCAGCGGGAGTGGCGGCCGGGCCGCAGCTCCGTCGGCACCGGCGAGACGGAGCCTGGCGGACGGCGGGAGCGCAGCACCGCGCCGGCTCCGGACCCTCCGCTGCGGTGCCGCGCTGCCGTCACCCCCTTCAGTGGGGACACCCGTGGGGGTGCCCGGAGACACCCCCGAGCAGCGCCTGGGACACACGCGGGGACCCCCGAGGATGGAGGCGATGGGTACTCACGGCGACGGGCGGGCGGGCGCGCAGCCCCGGGGCATGGCGGCGGCGCGGGCGGTGCTGCGGGGCGGCCGCTGCGGCTCTGACCCGGAGCCGAATCGCGGCGCGGGGAAGGGAAGAGAAGGGAAGAGAAGGGGAGGGAAGGGGAAGTGACAGGCGGCGCCGCCCCGCTCCGCGGCGGCCCTGGGCCCGGCCGTGCGGCCGCAGCTCCCTCCGCTGGCTGCGGGATGGAGGCACCGGGCAGCGCCGGGAGAGAGGGAGGAGGACGGAAAAGGGGAAAGGGACATAGGAAATGGAAGAAGAGAAAGGCCGGGGGAGGGGGAGGGGGGGGGTGTGTTGTGCAGAAAGCGAAAGGGGAAAGGGAAAGGGGAGCGGGAAAAAGTCAGGGAGAGGAGGAGAAGGGAAAAGCGGGGAGGGAAAGGGAAGTAGTGAATTAGGAGAAAGGGGGAAGGCAAGGGAAAAGGAAAAGAGGAAAAGAAAGGGGAAATAAAAGAAAGAAAAAGGAGTAATGAAAAAGAAGAAAGGGGGAAAGAATGGAGAAAATTAAAGGGGAAAAAAGGAGGAAAAGAAGAATTTAAAAGACAGAAAAGGATGGGATAAGGGAGGAATATCCATGCCATTGGAACAGTTGCAGCAGGTTTGCAACACTGGGAAGAGAAACACAGCAGAAGGGCCCATAGATGAGGCAAAATTCAGTTGAGGCAGTGAGATCTCAGAGATGACGTGTCCTCTGCTGCCTGTGCCCATCTGTTTGGGGAACATTCTCCTGCAGGGAATAGGAAAATCCTTAGACAAGATTAAGAACACCGGTAGGCTGCAGAATGGACAGGGAATGGAGCACTGCACTGATACCCAGGGTGAAATGTAAGTCCCCATGCAGGGACACTCCACACACCTTGAGCCAGGGGTCTCTGGGACACTGGGTCACTCTGAATTCAGACAAACCCATTACCCATTGCT